GCTTTTGTTTTAATTAGCTCACTGATACTCATTAAAACCACTCTTACGAAGCATTGTATTTCTACCCTAAAAACCTAAGGGATATGTTGATTAAGGGTGGAAATCTTTAGGGACTTTACAAACTGACTCCAATTCCTAAATGAAAATGAAATTTTCAAAATTCTTGACATACATTTTTCCCCCATATTTTTGGCAGTGCAGATACATCTGTCCAGCTGTACATTTTAACCAGAATTCCAGTTCCTATGCTTTAGTTTACAATTAGAATCAACACTCAAATGCCACTTTATTAGGTACACCTTATTAATACCAGGTTGGATCGCCTTTTGACTTCAGCAACTGCCTTAATCCTTCATGACATAGATTTCACAAGGTACTGGTAAAATTTCTCTGAGATTTTGGTCCATGATAGTATCACGCAGTTGCTACAGATTTATCAGCTGCACATCCATGATTCGAATCTGCCGATTCACTACATCCCAAAGGTTCTCTACTAGATTGAGACCTGATGGTTGTGGAGACCATTTGAGTACAGTGAACTCATTGTCATGTTCAAGAAATCAGTCTGAGATGATTAGCGCATTGTAGTCTCAGTTTACTGTTCTTAGCTGACTGGAGTGGCACCCGGTGTGGTCTTCTGCTGCTGTAGTCCATCTGTCTTAAGGTTTGACATGTTGTGTGTTCAGAGATGCTCTTCTGCATACCTATGTTGTAAAAAGTTACTATTGCCTTTCTATCAGCTCAAACCAGCCATTCTCCTCTGGCATCAACAAGGCAATTGCACCCACAGAACTGCCGCTCACTGGATATTTTCTCTTTTTTGATTCATTTTCTGGTTGAGTGTATAATACCCCAGTAGATCAGCAGTCTCTGAAATACTCAGACAAGCCTGTTTGGCACCACCAACCATGCCACATTCAAAGTTACTTAAATCACCTTTCTGCAGCACATCATCTTGACAGTGAGTTGCTGCCATGTGATTGGCTGATTAGACGTTTGTGTTAACAAGCAGTTGGACAGGTGTACCTAATAAAGTGTATGAGCGTATGTATGACAGTGCTGCAATCTTTAAAATTATCGATTTTATTATCAAAGTTATTTTTAAGGCAGGGTAGCATGGTGGCTCAGTGGTTAGCACTGTTACGGGTCGCTGGTTTGAGTTCCGGTTGGACCAGTTGGCATTTCTGTGTGGGTCCTGGGTTCCAGCTTCCACTGTGACGACCTCTGATAAGTAAGGGATTAAACCAAAGGTAAATTAATGAATAAATAAATATTCAAGGAAAGACCAGTTTATTTATTTAACACATTTCATACATAATGGTTATTCAAAGTGCTTTACATAAACAAGAATAAAAGGAACAAATATATTAAATAAAAACAACAAAAAAATAAAATAGATTTAACTGTGTATTCAGAATGAAAAAGCTCTGAATGTGACACTGAAACCCCAGATTTCAAAGAGCAATTATAAAGACAAAATTATCTAAAAAAGAAAGCAATACATATTTTTAGTTTGGTTATAACCTTTTAACAACGAAATGTCTTCAAAGCAAAAATGTTTATGTAAAAAATATATTTGTAAATGATTTTGCTTTTAATGAGAAAAGTGCACCACTTTGCCATGTTTTTAAAATTCTAAAATCTTTCAAATTAAGCAAATTGGCAACATATGTACATACAGTGCATCTGGAATAGCACTTCACTTTTTCCACATTTTTTTATGAGATACCCTTATTCCAAAATTGATTGAAATAATTTATTTCCTCAAAATTTTACAAGCAATACCCCATAATGACAATGTGATTTTTTTTTTTAATTGTTGCAAATTAATTAAAAATACAAACCTGAACAATCACATGTTCAGAAGTATTCACAGCCTTTGCTCAATACTTTGTTGGTGCACCTTTGGCAGCAATTAAAGCCTCAAGTTTTTTTGAATATGATGCCCCAAGCTCTGCACACCTGTCTTTGGGAATCTTTGCAGTACCTCTCAAACTCAATCAGGTTGGATGGCAAGTGACGGTGTACACCCATTTTCAGATCTCTCCAGAGATGTTGATTTAGGTCTGGGCTCTGGCTGGGCTACTCAATGACATTTACCGGGTGGTTGTTAAGCCACTCCATTAATATTTTGATGGTGTGTTTTGGGTCTTTGTCCTGCTGGAAGATGAACATTCATCTTTCATCTTTCCCTCTATCCTGACTAGTCTTCCAGTTCCTGCTGCTGAAAAACATTTCCACAGCATGATGCTGCCACCACCATGCTTCACTGTAGGGATGGCATTAGCCTGGTGATGAGCGGTGCCTGGTTTTCTCCAAATGTAATGCCTGGCATTCACTTCAAATAGTTGAATTTTAGTCTCATCAAACCAGAGAATTTTGTTTCGTATGGTCTGAGAGTCCTTCAGATGCCTTTTGGCAAATTCCAGGCAGACAGTGGCTTCCGTCAGGCCACTCTACCATACAGGCCTGATTGATGAATTGCTGCACAGATGGTTGTCCTTCTGTAAGTTTTTCCTCTCTCCACAGAAGAATGCTGGAGCTCAGACAGATTGACCATTGGGTTATTAATCACCTCCCTGACTAAGGTGCTTCTCCCCAGATGAATCAGCTTAGATAGCCGGCCAGCTCTAAGAAAAGTCCTGGTGGTTCCAAACATCTTCCACTTATGGATGATGGAGGCCACTTTGCTCATTGGAACTTTCAAAGCAGTAGAATTTTTTCTGTAAGCTTCCTCAGCCTTGTGCCTCGAGACAATCCTGTCTCGAAGGTTTACAGACAATTCCTTTGTCTTCATGCTTGGTTTGTGCTTTGGCATGCACTGTCAGCCCTGGGACCTTATATAGATAGGTGTATGCCTTTTTAAATCATGTCCAATCAACTGAATTTACCACAGCTGAACTCCAATTAAGCGGCTGAAACATCTCAAGAATGATCAGAAGAGAATAGAATGTACCTGAGCTCAATTTAGAGTTTCATGGCAAAGGCTGAGAATACTTCTGTACATATGATTTTTCAGGATTTATTTTTTTTAACATTGGCATTATGAGGTATTGTGTGTAGAGTTCTGAGACAATAGGGATGTAACGGTATCAGAATTTCACGGTACGGTAATACCTCGGTATGAATGTCACGGTACGGTGTTTATTGAATCATTTACAGGAAAAAACAAAACTTGTGAAAATACTCCAAAAAAGTGCCAAAAGTGTCAATGACATACAAATTAGCCATCTATCTGTAAGCTTTGAAACAGGAACTTCAATTTTAATAACAAAAAAATATTAAACCATGTAAAAAAATTAAGTTTCAATTTAATAGTGTTGAAAACTCATCACATTCAACATTTAATCACTCACTCACTTAGATAGAGATGGCTTTAAAGGAAAATTATCATATAAATATAATCTGGTAAAAGCTGGTATCTCTGGGTATTTACAATGTCCCCTGCAACAGAAAAAAACCCTCTTATTTGGGACTGAGGTTTCTGGGACAAGAGAGATATGACTTGGCCCAGGTTGACAGCAGTGGGTATTGTGCATTGTCTTTCCCCCACTTGAGAGGACAAACCATGAGTGAGATAGAGATCTCATGTCTGCATCAATCTGAACAGTGTGCTTTGTTTCTGCAGTCCCCATGACTGATTATTAGTCGTATTCCCTAACTTGCAGGCACGTGCACACACAGTGCTCAACCTGCGACGTGCCCCCGCGACACGACATACCCTCCGTCCCCGCTTTACAGTACGCGCGCAACACAGCTGATAAGAACTCGCGCGACAACACCGCTATTCAGTACGCGCGCGACAACACAGCTGATAAGAACTCGCGCAACAACACCACTATTCAGTACGCGCGCGGCGACAACACCCGCTTTAGGGTTTTCCAGCTCTTTTTGATCCCCGCTTCTAGCAGCACACTCCATTTACGCATTACTGGATCTGTAGCGACAACAGACCGCAAGGGATGATGGCCAAGCCTGGGCTGATGGGAATTGTAGTTTCCGGTACCTCCCGTTCGCTTCATTCGCCTGAGCAAATTTTCTCAGAAGAACTATAGTTTTACCGAGTCATGCGACTACGGTAATATCGAAAAAAATTAATATTGCGGTATGACGGTATTTACAATACCGTTACATCCCTATGAGACAATAAATGTATTTAATCAATTTTGGAATAAGACTGTAACATAAAAAAAATTTGAAAAAGTGAAGCGCTATGAATACTTTCCGGATGCACTGTACGCCTGTCAACGTTATTTATGTTTCTGTTTCTGGCTCATGTCTGCACAGGCTCATATCATCACCATCTAATACAGAATAATTCATTCATTCATTCATTTTCTTTTTCAGCCTAGTCCCTTTATTAATCAGGGGTCACCACAGCGGAATGGACAACCAGCTTATTCACCATTTTGTTATTAAACAGCGGATGCCCTTCCAGCCACAACCCACACTCTCTCATTCTCACAAATGCACTACCTGCCAATTTAGTTTATTCAATTCATTTATACTGCATGTCTTTTGACTGTGGGGGAAACTGGAGCACCCGAAGGAAACCACGTCATCACGTGGAGAACATGCAAACTCGACACAGGAATGCCAACTTACCCAGCTGCGGCTAGAACCAGCAACTTTCTTGCTGGGAGTACACAGTGCTACCATGTTGGCACTGTTAGTTGGTTGGTTGGTTGGTTGCTTGGTTGGCTGGCTGACAAACTGGTTGGTTGATTGATGATTGAGTGCCATTGCTCTCATGGCAGTGACATTTCTTAAAATACTTTTTCTTATTTGTACTTTCTAGTTTTTTACTTATTTATCTGTTACTCACCCCCCCCCCCCCTTTCTCTCATCTGTTATTTGTTCGAAATATAATCTTCAATTAATGTATTTCACATCATTCTAAGGGCAACAGGAGGCATATTTAATAATTAATTTACAGTTTTCCTGTACTTAACAGTTAACTTTATGAAAGTAAGAGCTTTTCATGTGTATCTCTGTGTCAGGCTGATGAAGAGGTGGCTGAATATGCAGAGGCGATTGGAGAAAGTGAGTGCAGTCTTTTCAATGTATCTTCTTGCACTGTATTTGTGTGTGGGTTTATTTTTTTCTTATGTTTTTTTTTATGGAGGAGTTTTTTATCTCTGTAAAGTGGCATTAATCTTAAAGGAACACTTCAATTTTCATTTACTGTCAGCCTTAGTACACGATGAAACTACAGAAGAGTCAATCTTTAAATAGGAAAATTACCAAAAAAAAGATTTAGATGCTAATGGTCTAATCCAATTCAATGATTTATGCTAAGCTAAGCTAAGCTAAAAGTGCTCCTGCCAGACCTGGAGATTGGTTGAATCTCTTAAAAAATGGTAAAACTCTACTGTTTAGCTTTAGGGCACTAGCCTATTTCCCAAAAAAGTGTGTTGTTCCTTTAAATAATGCTGTAATCAAAATAGGACAATATACTCAAATGATGTTGCACTAAGCAATATTTGAAAAATGCTTTGACCGTAGTGTCCCAAACACACTTGCAGCCAATCATCAGTAACTATGTCAAAAATGGGTGAATTCCTGTTCAATTATAGTTTTGTCTGGTTTGGTGATTTCAAATATAAACATTGTTTATTCATTCAAAAATTGCTTGGTGCACTTTTAATAAAGATATTCTGTGGTTCCAAAATAGTTACATTTTGCCAAACGTGTAAATGAATCTTAAAATGTAATATTTTAGTATTTGGTGGGGCAAATTAAAGTGAAAAATGTATGCTGTGGTACAAACAAAATGATTTGATTTCAGGAAAATTATAAATAATTTTTAACTTTAATAACTTTTAAGTTAATAACTTTTTTTCAAAATTATAAAGAATTTTAAAACTTATGCAGGGCCAAATAAATTCTGCCTTTCTGACTTTTTGTTGCTGTTTCTGTGCAGAATTTTGTTTTTAAAAAAAAGAAAAAAAAACTCATATTAATAAGTCAATAAATATATAAACAAATAAATACAAAATTAATAAAAAATCATCAAATGATTTGGATGGTATAGGAGCAAATTCATTCAAATTAAACGAATTGTTATTTGGGTTTACAATGCAAATCTAATTAGAACCACTTTTTTTGTAAACAAAGCAGGTCTTTCATTCAATACATCCACTAAAAGACAGACAATATTAGTTGAGAAATTGTATTGTACATACATCATCCAAATATGTAAATATATTCCATAATAGAAGTGAAATTAATACAAAAGTGGCATAAATATATTGGTCACACTTTACAATAAGGTTCATTAGTTAATGTTAATTAATGCATTTACTAACATGAACAAACAATGAACAATACATTTACTACTGTATTTGTTCATGTCAGTTAACGTTAGTTAATGAAAATACAGTAGTTCATTGTTAGTTAACTCATGGTGCATTAACTAATGTTAACAAGCATGGACTTGGATGTTAATAATGCATTAGTAAATGTTCAATTATGATTAATAAATGCTGTACATGTGTTGTTCAAAATTAGTTCATGTTAGTAAATCCATTAACTAATGAACCTTATTGTAAAGTGTTACCAATATATTTAAACAATTTTACATAAGTGATTCATTCCGCTGTGGCGACCATTGATAAATCAGGGACTAAGCTCAAGGATGATGAATGAATGGATATTTACATAAGTAATTAAATTGCTCAGATATTTGTGGAAATGTATTAATATTTTTGTGGTGTAGATTCTTTGTGGGCCTACTAATTGGTAACCATTTATTTAAAGTGTTTTGTTTTGACTGCATGACATGACAAAGCTGTACAATATATCAGAATAAAATATATATTTACTTGTTTTGTTCCCAAAAAAAACACACCAGGTTTTCCAATGGAGACCAAGAAGTCAAAGGTCATCTTTGTGATCGGTATGTTAATAAAATATATTATTTATTTATTTTATATATTATTTTCATTACAGAAAAAGAAAGATTGAATGCAATGTATTACTTTGCCTGCATTTCCCCCTCCCAGAACAGTAAGTGAGGAAGCACAGTGTTGTGATGCAAAGCACATTCATCACAGCTTAGATCACACATAATAAAACCTACAAAGTATCTTTTGTGACAGATGCACACACAGCAGCTTGAACTGTGAAAATGGAAGCAGGTGAAATCTTCTGAAGTGTCCTATTAAGGTTCCTAATTGAAACTGTTGGCAGTCTTTATCTCAAAAAATGACTTATGCTCTGGATAGATGGAAAGCAGACGGTCAAGATGGTGTGAGTCTTGGCATGCTAGGGGATTTCCTCCCTTCATGTGCGTTCAAAAGCACTAGCCTACTGGGATGTAGTCAAGTGAACTGAAAGCCAAGCTTTGAGGGGAAAAAGAGACCTGAAGAAATCAATTTGGCTGCTGTTTGAAATTAACCTGGTGGATGCGATTAGAGTTCCTGTGTCCTGTGTTATGCCTGTAATGTTATTTTAGATGTACTTGTCGATAGTCAGATGGAAAAGACTGTTAAGATAAGACTGATCGAATGAGTGAATTACACTATACAGTGCACTTGACCACCCTAAATGACATATAGTTGAAGTCAAAATTATTTTCCCTCTTGTGAATTTTCTTTTTCAAATATTTCCCAAATGATGTTTAACTGAGCAAGGCATTTTTCACAGTATTTCCTATAATATTTTATTTTTCATCAGGAGAAAGTCTTATTTGTTTTATTTTGGCTTAAATTAAAACATTTTAAAAAATGTCAATCAATTTAAAGGGGTGGTCCACAACGATATATTTTAAACTTTAGTTGGTGTGTAATGTAGCTGTGTGAACATTAACAACATCTTTGAATGTAATATGCTCAAAGTTTAATGCAAAGGGAGACATTGACTTTTACAGAGTTAACTTAGCAAAGCTTACAGCGAATGTAGTTTGGGGACAACAAAAAAACTCCATCCGGGTTAGTGAGATCACAAACGCTTCAGGTTACACACATTCACCACGTGTGTACACCCAGTGCAGCAAAGAGGCATGGCCAGAGGTGCTGTAATGCTATAGCAGAGAAAGCTTAAATGCCGTCCAAACGCTGCTATTTCCGCTGAGCTTGCTCTGTTTCTGTATTTGGGCTTCCAAAGGACATGACACAAAGAGAGAAGTGCTTAATGTTTAATTTTAATTATGTTCTGGAGAACTATACAAAATATATAGCTCTAGCATTTGACAAAGGACAGCTCCCGCAATCTCTCCCAGTTCAGTGCTTGGTTCAGCTAATGCCGAGGTTAGACTGCATGATTTCATAAAGTAGTCGTGTCACAGATGTTTTCACACTGCATGACTACCTGGGCTAGTATTTTGTTGCTGTTTTGTTTACACTGCAAGATGGATAAGCGACAGGGGGTTTCACATTGCATGACTTTACAATAGGAAGAATCACCGACAATTTTGTCCTACATCTCACAGCCAAAAACATGCAGTATATCTTTTTATATTGACTACATAACGAGAAAGAAGCCTTTAATGGGGTAGAAAATGTACTTATTTGCTCACCTGGGTTTGAAGGGAATTAGCAATTTCTCCTCAACTTTCTTTATTAACTTTATTTATGAAACGTCAAACAGACACGGGTGCTCCTGTCAAACCTTCACTAGTTATTTGGACCCATTTCTTGGGTCCAAATAAACTGAAATTGATCGCTTTAAATTTCTTACCCGATGTTATTTTCAGTCAAAACTTATTTCACGCGGCATGATTTGAATCGCCAACAGCTCCAGATATTTAGCACGCCAAATATCTCACAGACATCGCTGCGACTCTCTCAGATCACGTCTTTGATAGTTCATACTGTGTGATTGTCACTCACGTGCACGAGCACCGATTTGCCTGTGATTTCAGGCATTTGTCAGCGATTTCTCAAAACCTGTCGGCGAGTCAAAATCGGGGCTAAAATCATGCAGTCTGAACTAGGCATCAAACTCCTCAAAGAAGGTGCAGCTCCAACTAAAATAGACGAAGCTGTGGATTGTCAGCCACAACCTGTAAGTATATAAATCTGTTAAAATTGATCTATTACATGCACAGTTACTAGCATTGACTGTATGTTGTAGCAAGGACATAACAAGATTGTAAACTATGGGAAATGCTGTTTGGCGCCATTAAGCTACAAAATCATATTTAACCGTCAAACCCCTGTAAACAGCCACAATCTTCACCAGCGCTGCAGTGCCTCTCTATGCGGCCGCTTTCTCTGCATTCTACATCTCAAATAACAAATCAGAAAAGATATGTGAACGTTTCATATTACTTACACATGCTTATAACCCGAATATATATGAAAGACACTTTTCAGATTTTATTTTAAAGAGCAAGCATGAGGTTCAGCTGTGTCCTCTTCATTTTCTGTCTTACTCTAACTACTGCGGCCTACATTGACTGACAGCATTTATACATCCGAGGCTCAGTGCGTGCTAGTAGAGGCGTGACTAGACATGATGCTTCCTGGTGACGTGGAGCCGGTCCGCGAATCACAGCACACTATGTTAGCTGACCAATCAGAGGCTCTTGAGGGTGGGCTTTCGGAAGAACTAGGAAATATGACAGTCGTTTTCATGTTAGCTGAGTATACAAATAACGTGATTTTCTACAAGTAAAGCATGAGCACAATTTGCTTTGTATCTTATAAACACAACTAAGCCTGGACCACCTCTTTAAAACATTTATTATTTAGGTTTTTAAAAATCATATGAACATTTTTATGTTTATGTATGTATTACAAACAACCGCTTATGCGAGGTGTTTCTAATGCAGCATCTATGGGACAGGACAGTCGATTTGAAGTTGTTCTCTCTTCTGGCTGCCGTCATCAGTCTTACACTATTGTTTTCCTTTTTTTAAAAGTCTTGACAACACCATCGTGGAGTTTTCCTTTTATTATTTTAGCAAATGAGGTTTTAAAAATGTAATGTCACGGTTGCAGGTTTGTGCGCTCTCCCGTAGTGTCTGTTTGATTATGTGGGTTTGTTTGGTTTTTGTTGTCCACGTGTATTTGTTTTGATCATGTGTTATGACGGCTCTCAACTAGCTTGATTAGTTCGCCAGCTGAGGCTCATATTCGTGCCTATATATGGGTGACGTTTTCTGTGTGTCCTTGTCAGTTTGTTACGTGTGCTTATGTGTGCTATCTGTCTGTGCTCAGGACCGTGAGGACTTTCTACTGTACCCTGTTCCCTGCCTGATACCTGCCCTGTTTCTCCTAGCCCTAGCACCGCACTCATTTTTTGGATTTGTTTTGACTGTGTCAATAAATTATTTTTGTTCACTCGCACTTGGATATATCAGAACATTTGTTTGACTGACAAAACGAACTGACATGGACAACAAAAACCAAACAAACCCACATGATTAAACAGACATTCCGGGAGAGCGCAAACCTGCAACCGTGACATTGAGAAACAGGGCAGGTATCAGGCAGGAAACATTTATTTGTTTCAATACGCTCTAAGTTTAATAAACTATGATGACTTCTGCTTCTGAGAAACCCAGAAATGTGAAAAGGTTTCATTGTGTGTGTTCATGATCACTGTGCAGTGTCAAATACCTGGATATCTTAATTTGTGTTCTGAAAATGAAAGGAGGTTTCAGGGGTTTGGCTGAACTAACTCTTTTAGTAATGTAGGCACACGCTATAAGAAGTAAAAATCGTTACTTACAAGTGTGATGAAACTTTGATACATGTAGTGAAGTTTATTTATAAACTGATTTCAAGAGGATCACATGCTTAGTTGCAAGAATCCCCCCTTCCACCCCTACTTCTACTCCATTCCTAGATGGGTGGCACAGTGGCCCAGTGGTTAGCACTGTTGCCTCACAGCAAGAACGTCACTGGTTCTAGTCCTTACCAAGCCAGCTGAAGTTTCTGTGCGGAGTTTACACATTCCCTTCGTCCTCACATGGGTTTCTCTCGGGTTATCCGATTTCCTCCAATCGTCAAAAAACATGCAACCTAAGTTAATTGACTAATCCAAATTGGCATCATAGACATGCTCCTAGTAAGTAGTTATCTCTTAAGAGCAATCACTATCTGTTCATTACAGCAGGGGAGTTCTCGAGATCTACCTGAGCTCAAACTTCCCTCTCACCTTGCAAACGGGAGGGAGCCCCGGGCTCGAGGAGCTTATGAGCTCAGAGCTCTCTCCTGGGACAGCAGGCACAAGCTTTATAAACAATCATCAGCTAAGTGTGAACTCTTGAATCATTAATGGTATCATCAGTAAAAGCAATATTGGTCTTGCAGTGATTTATAGATGAACAATCAAAAAAAAAGAAAAAACATTAACAGACAATCAGATATACAGGCAAATACACAAGACAAAGCCCACTTTGTTTTTTGTTTGATGCTTGGACTTTTCAGAAGCATTCTTACATGATTCCAAGACTCACCATCAGTATTTAGACTATTGACTGTTTGCTGTGTATAAGCATTTTGCCTTAGGGAAATCTGCCTGTAGACTTGTGCTGTAGATAAGGGCTGCCCTGAGCTGTGTACAGAATCTTAATGAAAGCCTGTGGGAGTTCAGCCAGAAGGTAGGGTCGGGGATAGACCAACACATGTGTGTAGTATTGGCTATATACAATACATGCTGATAATCCATCTCACATCTCCCAAGACACTCAATTACTGAAGAGTTGGCCCCTTATCCCAACAGTTAACAGCACTTTCTGTCATCCATTTAATTTACTGCTTTTTAAAATTCTATTCTTCGATTTTCTCATTGTGAATATAGGTGGGCCAGGATCAGGGAAAGCTCTCCAGTCAGAAAAGATAGAAGAGCGGTACAGTTTGAAGCGGCTGTGTCCCGGGGACATCCTGTGCAGTGAGCTGCAGTCTCACAGCGAGAGAGGACGCTTTCTCCGAGACCTTCTGGAAAGAGGAGAGCAGCTTCCCGAGGTGCACAATCTTGTTAAAATCCATTACTGGAAGAAATTACAATGACCGGCTTCTCCTTAACTGAATTGAATGCTTTTGCTGCAAACACACACTGTAGACACACGATTTCGTAACACGTCTGAGTGCTTTTAACCTTTGAAGGATGCTTTATTTAATAGCCTGGTCAGTAATAAATACTGGCTTTAGGGAAAAGAATGGGACAAGAAGTTTGGGAAGTCCCAGCTAACAACGAACGTTCTTGTAATTTTAGTTATATCAAAGTTGTTTGTAGAAAGTTTCCTTAAATGTTATCTGTAATTAATATATGTTCTAAAAAAATGTTATTAATGTGTTGTTGGGGGAATGTTTTAAAAACGTTTGCATTATAAACGTTACAATTAAATTATGAATGGAACACGCTGAAAACGGTTTAATTTTAGTCTTTAGACTAAAATTCAATTTTAATTTAGGTAATTTTTTAGACTTGAATCATTTTAGTTTTAGTTTATTTTTAGTCGACTAAATTTTATAAGATTTCAGATTACTAAAAATGCTCTAGATTTAATTGACTGAAATATATTTTGTTTAATTTAAATGTAATTTAATTAACATATTGTTAATTAAATTACACTCTAACCTAAAATAATTGTTAAAAGTATGGTTAAAGCAAACGGTAAAGCTGTGTTTACATTATTCTTGTGACATAAAAGTCTAATAAAAGCCAATTTACATGATTCAGCCAAAAACAGAAAACACTTTTCCTCATGAGCATTTAAGTGTACGATTAAAAACTTACCTAGCTGTTAAAATTTATGCTCAGAATCAATGCATTTTGAAAATGCTGTATCAATGTAAAATCGATTTCTCAAATTAATTGTTGTTGTTGTGTTCGATTTTTGTTTTTGGCCAGAGCTCTAATATTCATTCCTTCATTCATTTTCTTGTCGGCTTAGTCCCTTTATTAATCTGGGGTCGCCACAGAGGAATGAACCTCCAACTTATGCAGCACATTTTTACCCTTCCAGCCGCAACCCATCTCCGGGAAACTTCCACACACTCACATTCACACACTACGGAAAATTTAGCTTACCCAATTCACCTGTACCGCATGTCTTTGGACTGTGGGGGAAACCGGAGCACCTGGAGGAAACCCACGCAAACGCAGGGAGATAATGCAAACTCCACACAGAAACGCCAACTGAGCCGAGGATCAAACCAGCGACCTTCTTGCTGTGAGGCGACAGCATTACCTACTGCGCCACTGCGTCGCTGAGCTCTAATATATAATACAAAATTAGAGAACTTTACTATTAAAACATACTTCAAGTTACTTGATATATGATGCTGCTTCAAGGTAAAGTAGAGAGAAGATCTAAGACCAAAAAGTCCTACCGGTCTAAAACCAAAATCAGATCCTGGATTGTCACAGTCCTAAATAGATTATTTCCAACTCACATGCCTGCAGTTTTCAAATAGTTGTCAAATAATGTCTCTAGGAGTTATTGAAGGACAGATGCTAGGCACTGTTAGATATTTGGAGGGCTAAAGCAGGTCGCACACCAGAAGCTACGCTCGGCGGCGCGCCGCGCAGCGCCACGTATTTTAGAATTCTAATTATAGGTTTCTATCAGGATACACACACCGGCGCCGCAAGTCGGCGGCTGTCGGCGGCGCCCGGCGACGGCTCAGGACGCAGTTCATTTTTCAGCCGCGCCACAGAGCGCCATCTGATTAGTTTCATGTTAAATATCATTCGAATGTGCGCGTCTGGTGTGCGATACTTTAATCTGTCATGTACGCGCCGTGTCGCGGCGCCGAGCGGCGCTTCTGGTGTGCGACCTGCTTAAGAAGAAAAGTATGCTGTGGGAAACAAGCTGCAGTGGTGCAAAGTAACAAATTACTAGTTGCTTTCAGGAAATGTACTTCACTAATTTGTTAGAACTTTTTACATTTTTAAATCTGTCTTGGCATATTTACTATACTATTTTCCTTCAACCTTCAACCTATACTTTTACTCTACTTGCACTACATATTCATTGCCAAATGAATAGTTTCAAGCTTCTGAAGGTAATGCTATCAGTATACTGAAGCACGCCTCATACCTGTTTCGATTTAGCTTCAACACAAAAACTAGTGTTCAGATATGAGAAATCAATTGACCACTGGAACTTTCACAGAGTCCAGCTGCTGTGAAGCATGAAAGCGCAGGTACAGCAGTTCAATTTTGATTCAGCCCTAAGTGAAAAATCTTTCATGGAAACTAATACACAATTATACAGCATAATCCATCGTCAGGCATTTGTGAACACATTTAATTAGGCAATCGCTTCAATGTCCACACTTATTTAGTCATTAATAGCAGGTCAGATGAGCTCAGCTGTCTTGTTTAATCATTCAGAGCTCAGATTCTTTCTGTCGTGGGTTTTGTTTGCTGAGGTTTGGCACATGGCTCAGAGATATCCAGACTTAATCAAATGATTTATGTTACTGTGGTGTTGCCTAGCAACATGGCTGTCATTAGCATTTGCTGTGAACTACATTTAGTTGACATCAGACGCCACATTTCTTTATAATGTGTTTCCGTGTTTTTATGCGTCCAGCCATTCTCATTGACTTTGAATTCGAATGTAAAGTGTTTATGTGATTTTCTTGTCTGTGTGTATTTAAGGACACACTGCTGGATCTGTTGTGTGAGGCCATGGCATCTACTGTACGTCAGGGAAAGGGCTTCCTGGTAACAGGCTTCCCGAAGAATGAGAAGCAGGCGCAAGAATATGAAGCCAAGGTCAGTGCTTTTCCAGAAAAACAATGAATTCAACAACTTAAATGACCAATTACAAATTAATAATTCATTTTTATTTAACCAGGTAAAGAAAATACATTAAAATCGAGATATCAGGTCAATGATGACCTGGCCCAGAGGTCTGCAACACGTTACTGTATAAAAGAAAAAAGAAATTAAATAGAAATAATTTAATAATACAGTATTATAATACATAATATTGTATCAGTCGCTAGATTATTATAAATGCTTCTATAATGTACATTTCAACACTTTCAAAATGATATCACAATGGTAGTGTCCTGTATAGACATGTCCAATGCATAAAAACTGTAAAAAATGTGGATTTAGGATGTGACCCATAGGTTACCGAAGAACTCAAATATTACGCTTACTGGGGGTAACCAAAAAGGACAAAGAGGCGGAGCTTGAGCAGAGCTACAGATGCCTGCTTGCAATTTGCTTAGACAGGCTTTACTTTGAGAGAAACACTTATACATCATCACCTTCGACTCGTTTGTGTTCTGACCACTTGTGCTTGGTTGTGTACTATAGCAATCAAGTGTTTAGTCTTTTAAAAACACTGTTGTAATACATCGAGCCACTAAGCATTGCTCTTATGACGTTTTTCTACAAGAGGAAAACGCTAATAACTCCCAAATACATCAAATATAGTCTGTGTTAGCAAATGCTGGGCTATTTATAAAATCCAGGCATAAAACTGCATGACAACATTTCAGATGACTGTTCTAGACCCTACAGCTAATCAGTCTGTCAGATTCTGGAGTGCATAACAGGTCTAAAAAAAAATTATAAATTATAAACGATCTTAAATAAAACAAATACATATATAGAGATGCTATATAAGTATAAAAGAATTTCACTCACCTGGGAAATGGAGGCAACTTAAAAGGTTTGTGAGCACAATTAAGTGCATACAGCATGCCATATTATCTGATAATTGTGGAAAATAATTCCAACCGGCAATTGACTGTGTAAAGCCACATAAAACAAAACAAAAATACGATGAATATGCCGAGTTCAGCAGCTAATCAGCCGAAATCAGGTGAGGTGACGTCGACCAGCAAGACCTAGCTGTCACTCAAGTGGCCACACCCTTAATTATGCAGACTTAATATAACTCAATATAAATGAAATGGATGAGTTATAAAAAAAAATCACTCTCTCACAGTTGTCATGAAGGGTAAAGTTAGCTCTATACACCAAAATCCTTTTTTGTACCAGGCTGTAAACACTTTTTTTCTGCTGTAAAGTTGGCCATTTTAACAGTGGGCTCAATAGAAATTTGCTCTAATATGAAGCCAGGCCTAGTGGAATTTCGATGAATTGCAACTTCAGTTACTTCCATATTAGCTTCATGAGTGAGAGCGGGAGGTTGCAACTTGGTCCAATGGCATGGAAGAAACCTGTTTAAACACCAGCTTAAAGGGTTAATTCACCCAGAAATGAAAATTCGGTTATACATTATTCAACCTCATATCGTTTCAAACTCCTGAGACCTTCTTTCATCTTCAGAACACAAATTAAGATGTATTAGATGAAATCGGAGAGCTCCCTCATCCTTCATAAACTGCAGTGGTCTTAAAAAATAACTGTTTAGGAAAATACCAAAAATAACACACCATATGCCTTCAGTTGTTCAATTGGAATACTTTTATCGACACATAAAACAGAAAGTATGAATTTATTCAACAGTTTCTTCTCCTCAGTGACAGTATAGGATGTGCATCCATGGGAGAAATATGCTCTTTTTTTAATAAAAATAATAATAGTAATAATAATAATAAAGATGTGCATGGGCATCCAGGAACACATCAATGCACATGTGCGCAATATACTGACACTGAAGAGATAACACTGTCGAATAAAGTAATTATTTCTGTAATTTGTGCACCACAGTATTCTCATGGCTTGATAAAGTTAACACTGTCACCTCAAAGCAAGAAGGTCACTGGTTAGAGTCCCGGCTGGGCAAGGAGGCATTTCTTTGTGGAGTTTGCATGTTCTCCCCGTGTTTGTGTGGGCCTCCTCCAGGTGCTCCGGTTTCCCCCACAATACAAAGACATGCACTATTATTGGTGAATTGGATGAACTAAATTGGCCATAGTATGTGTGTGAAAGTAAGAGTGTATGGATGTTTCCCAGTACTGGGTTACAGCATAACATATACAAGAATAGTTGGTAGTTTATTCCGCTGTGGTGACCTGTGATGAATAATGGAGTAAGCCGAAGGAAAATTAATGAATGAAAGAACAACTGAAGACAAAAGGTCTGTTTTAACAATGCTTTTCGCTACCTTTCTGGACTTTGAACTAGTTGCTGGATTGTTGCTGTCTATGGAGTTCTCAGATTTCATCAAACATATCTCAATTTGTGTTCTGGATATCAACAAATGACTCAGGAGTTTGGAATAACATGAGGGTGAGTAAATATTGACAGAATTTTCATTCTTGTGTGAACTAATCTTTTTAATGTGTGCTCTATGGATGGGGATTAATTAATGTTTATATTTGGATCAAGTTAAATATGTTCATCATTAAATGATTGCCTTGTTACAAGGCTTGGATTGGATATTTTTATTTTTGTATACATACTACAAAAGTGATATGAACTACTTTTACTAATCAATATTTAAGGGATTTTTGGAGCTTTACATTGTCCCTATTTTTTTATTGTATGCAAAAAGCACCTGAAATAATCTGCTAAACATCTTATTTTGTGTTTAGTGGAAGATTTTCCACATAGACACCTATGATAAAAATCATCTTTTGGAAGTTGTTTGAACAGAACTTTATGTAGGTGTAGTGTGTCCACAGTCATGTTGGAGTGATTGAAACACAATAAGTCTCTTTTTTTAATTTTCTGATGTTAAAATAGGATCCAAATCCTTCTCATTTTGAGGCCCACTGCAACGTGATGTAGGAGTGCGGTTTCCCCACCCACCAAATTGATTGACAGCTGCCTATTAACATGTCTCTGTAATAACGCGTATAATCATATCAGCAAGGCAAGACATGCACTAAACAACTGGAATTAAAAGATCTGTTCAGCGCTCTGTGATCATCAATCATTATCAAATATGGTCAAGATTGAGTTTTACAAATTTAAAATGTTTTTAAAACAGTGCATGTTTGTAATAAATTACAGCGATTTACTTCAGCTTTACTTTATTACCACAGCCGCATGTCAGTACAATTATAAAAGAAGACGATTCAATCCTGGTTTGTGGACGTTAAATTAGGTTTAATTTGTACATTAACATAATAGATATCCATACAGCAATGGATATTATCGTGTATCTTGTCACATTTGCCGTGCAAATTTAAACGTGTGTGTGTGTGTGTGTGTGTGTGTGTGTGTGTGTGTGTTACTCATCATTGCAGAAAGGCTTGAATTAACTTCACAACAAATACATCAAATAATCATTGGGAATGTTCTTACTTAAGTATTTCTCACAAACATTACGTGAGATCTGCTTCCTTCATGTCTGTCACTGTGCTGTTTATCTGACGCAGCCAGTAAGGAGGACACTCTGGGGACACTCTGATTCTCATGTGGGAACAGTGGTCAGGTAGAACTAGCAATAAAGGCACAAGCAACAAAAACTACTTTGTGTTCAAAGCAGAAAATTCCAATGTTCTGAAAGCTATAATAAATAATCTGATGGGTGTTTTAACCTGGAACTTTACAGACACATTCTGGAGACATAAAAGACTTATCTTAAATCTAGTAGAAGAGGTAAAAAGTCAATGCCTGTTTAGTTTTTGAGTAAAAATTTGACAGTTATTGCTTCTTTTTTAACTCTTTCAATCACTGTAATTTGTGTCACAAGATCTGACAGATCTGCTTGTGTGTGTGTGTATGTGTGTGTGTGTGTTTCAGATGGGCCAGCCAGACATAGTTCTGCTACTTGAATGTTCTGCAGACATCATGAGTCGACGGCTACAGCAGAGGGCCACCTGCAGCCTGCACAGTAAAGAAGCCCGAGACAGAGATACTCGCCGTAGAGTAGACGGGTTCTGCAGCCTGATCAATCCTGTGGTCGCTCACTATCAACACAGAGAATTTTTCCATAAGGTTGGTGCATGTGTTAAAGCACAGCTACACTGAGGTTACAGCATAATACTCACATAATCTGGTAATGAGTTTGGACAAACACTTCCTGTTTACTTCACCTCTAGCTGTGGTTGAGACAGCTCTCTGCGTTCATAGCCACCAAGCAATTTTGTGTTTAACAATAGTCCAAGAATAGAGCAGGCATCAAATAGACAGGAGTGAAGAGTTGTTGCCATTTACCTATTTTTAATTGGATTTTGGAATTCTGCATAAAAAATGCTTAATGCATACATTTTGAAAATAAAAACTCATAAGTGGGATAAACTTTTTATTCGAAAAGAAAAAATGCACATAAACTACGATGGAAGCGCATTTACTGAATAAATCCCAGAATGTTCATCAATAAAATCTTGTGATTTTGTTTTAACAGATCTTGTGATAATAAAAATGGGTATGATGGGATGGCATTAATTAGTGATGTGACGTTGTGCGCCGAGGCTTCGTATCAAAAAAGCATGTATCAAAAAACGATACATCTCGCAGTGAAGCAGTGTACCGGAGCTTGATTCGTTTTGCCATCATCACGTGATCAGTGACGTCCGAAGCTTCATTTTTGCCTATACCCACGTGAGTGCTTCGAATTTTGATTCAAAGGTTTAAACACCCTCATAGTAAAGTGTAAAGCGAGAGATTAGGCGTCGATTACATACATTTGTACTGTTTCAAAGCACTGCACCAGTCCCACACACCAGTAATTAAACTAAAATACAATAGTAAATTTTTGTAAAAAGGTTTTGAACCATACTAAAGTGTATTAGCGTATTGTTTACAACTATCTTTAAAGAAAACCACCGCATATCATAGTATTGTGTGTAACAGAGACCAGCTGGCGAGTACAGCCCTGTAGCATCACTCACATAGCTTCCTCCTAGAGCATTCGCCTCTCATGCAGGAATCGCTGGTTTGATCCCCGCTTGGAACAGGAATAGTTGTAATAAGATAATCTTTTGAATACCTTGGATTTTACTACAGTCATCAGTGGTGTAATGTAATATATCTTGTGTAAAAACTACAGTATTTGAGTCATTTGTTTATATTGCTGTTGTTGTATTACTACTTGAATGAGTTGGTCAGTTGTGAACATTTGACATTATGGCAACACAGTGCTTTTCCACACTTTAACCAGAAGAGGTCCTCATCAAACTCTGATTTAGAAAGCTTCGAGTAACGAACCTTTTTCCGATACAATTGAGTCGAGCGCTTCACTGGTTCAGAAAGCTTCATTTCACCATCACTAGCATTAATGGCATTAAACCAGCAGAGCAAACCAACCACATTATAAAAAATCTGAAATGTTGTTTTGGTCGTTCTAAAGTCCATCATCAAAGCGGTTCAGTGTTTTTACATCTCAGAACTGTCTTAAGTGTCTGTGTTCCTAAAGAGTGGTGTGGAAATATACATTTATTTAATCTAGTTTCATGTCAACAGTGATATTTATATAACTGAAAAGTTATATTTGGTTTTCAAAACTGTAGCAGCCCAGGTGTGAGAAACATTTAAACCTTTTGCCTTCCTGAGCCAAAGTGATGCAAATACTAAGGCCTTACTCACACCATGTACAGTTGCCTTAAACTGGGCCAAAGCACGTTTGTCCCCTCTCCTGTCTCCCCTGACAGCCCGCTCTCACAATACATTTGGTATGGGCATGCTTACGTCATCGACGCTGCGCTGTTCAGTAAGCGCTCTCGCTCAGCACAGTGGAGATTTCATAAGTTATATCGTTGAAGTTATTTGATATGCAGTGACACGCTTTCAAATATTTCGCCAAACAGATCAGCCACTTTTGACGCCTATAAACAATCATAAAGTCCTCGTGCTGCAGGAATTAGGAGGTTTGCTGAAGGTGCAGCTGTCGTGCAGTGAGGGGTTTGCGCCTTTTTAAACTACGACTGTTTGCGTTCACTGAACAGTAAGAATGATTAATAAATCCAAATGAAACAGTCCCTTAAATGTCACGTCTCGCTTTCAGTTTCGGGCTTAGGTGCATTGTGCACTCACACACAAGCTTACCGTGCCAAAGCCCAAGTGAACCACACTCAGGCACACCTCTTGCAATCGGGCCAGGGCCGGCCAAGTGAACCGTGCCTTAGCCCGATTCAGAGCACTCACACTTCTCAAACGATCCAGGAAACGGGCCTGGGCTTGGTTCAAGTAGCAAAGTGTGAGTAGGCCCTAAAGGTAGGGTCCCAATCTCTGTACCTTTGTCTTTGGTGGAGTGGTCAATGGCTGAGCTATGCGGCTCAAAAGAAGTAACACTTATACATGTGAACAGGTATACTGATGAGATGAGGGCTGGGGAAATGCTGTTTACATTGCTGACCCCAGCACTTCATTTACATGCTTTGTTTAGGTTTGTCCCACCTATATGTATCACTGCCTGTAAAAAATGTATTTAAACTGAGTGCTTGGCTGCACTAGTTCAGAGATTTTTCAATGAATGATACAGCGAATTCCCTTTCAAGGATTCTACTTCGAAAATACCCGAAAATCCTCTTGGTTTTGTCTCTTCTTCAAATTCACAACAGTGGTCTCACTCCTTCATCCCACAATGCATTCCTTACTCTTCTACTTCACCTTCTAAAGTGCTAGTCATTTATTTTATAAGAAAAAAAGGCCCACGGTGGATTTCTCCCACAGGAGATTTCATCGAATGGATGACACACAGATGTTTAATGAGATATTGCAGTTGTGCACACAAGTTTAAGTTGGATGGAAGCATAGCTAGTCACTACGCATGTAAAGTCTGACTAGATTTTGATTGACAGCCCAAATTGAGCCTTGTTTTAGCCTAAACAGCTATGTGGTTAGCACTGTCGTCTCACAGCAAGAATTTTGCATTAGGTGCAAGAAAAAGTCACTGGTTTGAGTCCCAGCTGGACCAGTTGGCATTTCTGTGTGGAGCTTGCTTGTTCTGCCTGTGTTAGTGTGAGTTTCCCCAGGGTGCTCCGGTTTCCCCCACAGTCTAAGAACATTTGGTATAGGTGAATTGGATGAATTAAATTGACCAGTGTATGAGCGTGTGAATATGAGAGTGTATGGGTGTTTCCCAGTACTGAGTTGCAGCTGGAAGGACATCCACTGTGTAAAACATATGCTGGATGAGTTTGGCAGTTCATTCCGCTGTGGTGACCCCTGATAAATAACGGACTAAGCTGAAGGAAAATGAATGAATAAATTTGTGATTAAAAAAATAATAAGTTAGCATTATATAGTCACTATTGCTATATAAAGACCAGAGGGGGGTTGAAAGTTGCTGACACACAAGCTAAAGATGGTCAATATCTGACCTTTAGAAGAGACACCCCGACATTTCAGAAATGTTCAGTGGACTGGACTTTATGTCAATTGCTGGAAAGTTCCTGTGTGAAAATGAACATTTTTATGATTGAGCCTGATGAATCTTTGAATTGTCATCTCAAAATATGCCCTTGAGATACATTATTTATTTAAACAGAAGGCCACACACTTTAAAAAAATCGTTGCCAAAAATACATTAAGCCAGAAGCATAATGATTACTGGAATAAAAATCTAAAGATAGAGTGAATTTTATGTTTACTAGATTTAAGTTTATCATTTGAGGAGTTTTTTCCTTCGTCGGGTCTGTTTGAGTAGCTGGGATGCATCTGATTTATACAGTGAAGGCAAAATTATTAACCCTCATGTGAAATCTACAGGGTGGGCCATTTATATGGATACACCTTAATAAATTGGTTGGTGATATTAACATCCTGTTTGTGGCACATTAGAATATGTGAGGGGGCAAACTTTTTAAGATGGGTGGTGACCATGGTGGCCATTTTGAAGTCTGCCATCTTGGATCCAACTTTTGTTTTTTCAATAAGAAGATGGTCATGTGACGCATCAAACTGGGAATTTCACCAAAAAAAAAACAATGGTGGTAAAATAGGTGCCCTTTAAGTCAATGCCTGTTTTTAAATAAAACAAGCCTTCTCTTTTAACAACAGTTACTGTAAGTTGTGTTTTTTTTTTTTTTTGGGGGGGGGGGGGGTTTAAGGGGGTGCACCACTACATTATGGGTGTCAGGTTCGAGCATTCCTATGAATAGTTTCCTAAAAAAGTGGATTGGTCATCGTGGGCCAGTTGAATGGCCCCCAAGGTCTCCTGATCTGACCCCCTTAGACCTTTATCTTTGGGGTCTTCTGAAGGCAATTGTCTATGGTGAGAAGATACAAGATGTGCAGCACCCAAAACTATGGATACTGGAAGCCTGTGCTGGTATTTCTCCTGCGGTGTTGCTAATAGTGTGTGAAGAGTAGGAGAAGAGGGTTTGACAATCCAACACAACTGGCAGCACACTGAACACATTTTATAAGTGTTTAGAAACTTGAAAATAACTCATGACATAATAAAGTTAAGTTAAAACCAAACACACCATTATTTTTCTTGTGAAATTCCCGATAGGTTTGATGTGTCAAATGACCCTCTTCCTATTGAAAAAACAAAAGTTGGATCCAAAATGGCCGACTTCAAAATGACCACCATGGTCACCGCCCATCTTGAAAAGTTTGTCCCCTCACATATACTAATGTGCCACAAACAGGACGTTACTATCACCAACCATTCCCATGCTATTAAGGTGTTTCCATATAAATGGCCCACCCTGTAGATTATTTTTAATTATTTCCCATATATTTTTAACAGAACAAGGACATCACAATATTTTCTATTACATATTTTTTCTTTTAGAGAAAGTCTAGTTTGGAGGTGGCGAGGCAGTGGCGCAGTAGGTAGTGCTGTCGCCTCACAGCAAGAAGGTCGCTGGGTCGCTGGTTCGAACCTCGGCTCAGTTGGCGTTTCTGTGTGGAGTTTGCATGTTCTCCCTGCCTTTGCATGGGTTCCTCCGGGTTGCTCCGATTTCCCCCACAGTCCAAAGACATGTGGTACAGAATAAGCTAAATTGTCCATAGTGTATGAGTGTGTGTGTGGATGTTTCCCAGAGATGGGTTGCGGCTGGAAGGGCATCCGCTGCGTAAAAAAAACTTGCTAGATAAGTTGGCGGTTCATTCCGCTGTAGCGACCCCGGATTAATAAAGGGACTAAGTCGACAAGAAAATGAATTAATAAATAGTTTGGCGGCAGTTGGTTTGCAGATTTTAAGGTCAAAATTATCAGCCTTCTATTTTATTTTTTTAATTGGCTACTGAACAAAGCACTGTTGTCCGAGTTCAATTCCTGGCTCGAGGTCCTTTGCCGATCCCTCCCCTATTTCTTCTGCCCACACTTTCCTGTCTGTAAAATCTCCACTGTCCTATCCCAATAAAGGTGAAAACCCCTAAAAATTATTATAAAAAAATAATAATAATACTGAAATCTTACAACTCGTGAAATATTATGTGGTGCCATCATGGCAAAGACAAAGTAAATCAGTTATTGAAACTAGTGTTGAAAAATTTGTTGAAAAAAAATCTGTGAATTTGTGTTGAGAAAAATACGTTAAGGGCTAAATGTTAGCTAAAAGATTTGATCTCTCTTAAAATTAGGTCTTTTTGGGGTTAATTTAACCAAAATGTTAATTATTTCATAATTAGCTCACATATTGTTTCAAATTATTTTACTTGGTCCCACTTTATATTAAGTGTCTTTAACTACTATGTACTTGCATCAAAAAAATAAATACAATGTTCTTACTGTGTTTATGATGTATTTGAGAACACTTGTGGTGCTTTTGAGTAGGGATAGAGGTTGGGTTATGGAAAGGTTTGGTGGTATGGGTAGGTTTAAGGGTGGGTTAAGGTGTAAGGGATGGTCAACAGTGTATTTACAAATGTTATCACAAAAGTTAACTACAGATGTAATTACATACATGTATTTAATCAAGCATAAGTACACAGTAAATACATGTTTTTACACAATAACTACATTTTAACAAACTATTAGTTCCTGTGTAAGTACATATTAGTTAAGGCCACTTCATATAAAGTGGGACCTTTTACTCTAAGGTGAAGCGCACAAAATAATGTCTGTTTTCCATAAATTCATTAAGATTGTCAATCATTAAAACTAGTGACTATTTAGGTGACTATATTTTAGTGGAAAATAAAGACTTTTTAAAAATAAAATCCATCTTAAAAGGCATGCAAGATTTATAGCTGTGATTTTAGTGAAACATTTCATTAAAAAGATTTGCTGCGCTTTGAGCAGTCATTTAAAGATAATAATCATTTCTATCTCTCCATTCAAAGGATAAATTAACTGGCACACAAATGTAAATTCAGCCCACCTCATCACATACTGTATCAATAAAATGATTTTTAATGGGGGAAAATGTAATATATATTTAGCTTAGAAGCTGGAAAGCTGTTCCTTTATGTGCATGAGCTTAATACAGATGTCAAGTTACCAGAAAAATTAACAAAATAAAAATATAATAATAATATTAATAATAACTTTCAAATTAAATTTTTAACTGTCTTTATTTTTGTGATAATTGTTTTAAAGTTATTTGTTGTAGTTTGAAGTCTGAAAATATAGGGGAACTATCAATTCTTTCACTTTCTTTCTCTTACAATTTGAATGGAAAATAACTTTTATAGTAATATAAAAAATATTGTGAGAGCAATTTATATTCATTTTTGGACACTAATAATCATACCGTATTCCTTCATTCGTTTCTTTTGGCTTAGTCTCTTTATTCATCAGGGGTCGCCACAGCAGAATAAACCGCCAACTTATCAAGCATATATTTTACATAGGAGATGCTCTTCCAGCTGCAACCAAGTACTGGGAAACAACTATACACATACATTCCCACACATTCACTATAGCCAATTTTGTTTATACCTGCATTTCTTTAAACTGTGGGGGAGACCGGAACACCCAGAGGAAACCCACTCAAACACGGGAGAACATGCACAGAAATGTCACACAGAAATGCCAACTGACCCAGATGGGTCTTGAACCAGCAACCCTCTTGCTGTGAGGCACCGTTAGGCCTAAGTGCATTTATTTTATATGACATTATAATTAATAATTGTTTTTCTTCGTGACTTAAATTTAAACAGGGTGTCACACTAAAGAAAACAAAACTTTTATAGTGATTCCAAAAACAAGTTATAAATAAGTCTTGACAGGGGGCTTCAGTCACATGATCTTGAATTCTTCAACAAATTCCACTTGGAATTGACTGTTTAAAAAATAGCATCAGAGGACGTGATTTTCAGTGATAAAATGTAACAAGTTTCTATGTTTTTAGACGTTGCCATTTACCTAAATAGGCACTTGTAAAATTAGGCCTAAGCTATTTATTAATGCTTGTACGATTTACTTTTTCAATTGATAAGAGCGGTAATATAATGAACTACATTTGTAAGTCAAACTATGGAGCAGTTTTGGCTGAAAAAATGTCAAATTATAAAAACCAAACAGCAGTTTTTATAATTAAGAGGTTCATAGAAAACAAATCTTTGACATACACTACCTGACAAAAGTCTTGTCTATCCAAGTTTGAGGAACAACAAATAATAACTTGACTTCTAGCTGATCATTTGGTATCAGAAGTGGCTTATATGAAAGGCAAAGGCCTTGATTTTATTAATATAAAATATGATCATGCCTTGATTTGTAATTATTTAATTAGTACAGTCAGGTCTGACTTTGCTTAGACAAATGTCACTTAACAGAAATAATGTACAGTATAGGAAATAGTCATGGTGTAGTGGAAAAAGAATTAGTATTGTGTATGTCTCTCATGAGCTTGGACGACTGCATGCCCACATCTCTGCACTGACTCAAATAACTTATTAATAAAGTAATCTGGAATAGCAAAGAAAGCGTTCTTGCTTCTTTAGATTCATCTTCAATGCCTCCTCCTTCATCTTACCCAAGACATGCTCAATAATGTTTAAATCTGGGGACTGGGCTGGCCAATCCTTGAGCACTGTTATGTGTTGAAGTAATAAAATATTAAATGGATGAAACGTTACAATCAGTGAGTCTAATGATGCTCAATGACAAAGGAGAAAACACAACTGCTGGTTAAGTGAAACAAAAAAAAGTTTTATTTAACAGAGAATGTCAAGCAATGAATATTGAAAATGTAATTAAAATGTAATTTTAAAATAATCAAATTGAACAAAGAAAACAGGAGTGTGGGCGAGGCAGCGCTGCAGTAGGTAGTGCTGTTGCCTCACAGCAAGAAGATCGCTTGGTCGCTGGGTCGAACCTCGTCTCAGTTGGCGTTTCTGTGTGGAGTTTGCATGTTCTCCGTGCCTTCACGTACGTTTCCTCTGGGTGCTTCGGTTTCCCCCACAGTGCAAAGACATGCAGTACAGGTGAATTGGGTAGGCTAAATTGTCCGTAGTGTATGAGTGTGTGTGTGGATGTTTCCCAGAGATGGGTTGTGGCTGGAAGGGCATCCGCTGCATAAAAACTTGCTGGAAAAGTTGGCGGTTCATTCCGCTGTGGCGACCCCGGATTAATAAAGGGACTAAGCCGACAAGAAAATAAATGACTGAAAACAGGAGTGTTGCCAAACAAAGAAATAAATATAACCAAACATTCTAACTAAACCCCAAAACACTAAACTAACTAACCAAAGAAAAATACAGAAACAAAATCGTAATCTTCAGCACGTGGCCAAACTAAACTTCATAACTACTTCAAAACATAATTATATGTGGCAACGCCTCCATAAACTAATTATCAACTAGCGATACTAAGCTGCTCACATTACTAGAGTTCTCGTAAAGTACACAGTTATCCATTAGCAAAACAATATCTCATCTAATCCAATTCTCATAAAGATCGTTCAACTTCTTAATAGATACTAAACTGAGCTGCACAAGCTTTTCTAATAAATCGATACTTAATCAGGGGAAAAATAGAACACAACAACAGCAACCAAACTAATCAAACAATTACAAGAGAACAGGCCGGCCGACAGAAGTGAGGAGACTGGCGGTGAGCCAAGGGTACCTGGAGAACAGCGAAAGCGCACAGCTTTCATACTATGCGAACCAGCTCCTGATTGACGATTGATGGTGATTGACAGCTCCTTCAACCAATGGTTGGACACCTAAAACATGACAGGATAAACAGCGGAAGAGAGAGAACGTAAAACAGAAAACAAACAACAAAACACCACAAAAAACATACGTGAAACGTAACAAGCACATCGACCTTCTTTGGTTTATATTATAATGGGCAGCACAAATGTCTCGATGCCTCAGACTGTTGATGTCGCCATCCACTCTGCAGATCTCTCACACGCCCCCATACTAGATGTAACCCCAAACCATGATCTTTCCTTCACCAAACTTAACTGATTCTGTGCAAATATTGGGTCAATTCGGGTTCAAATTGCTTTTCTATGGTATGTGTTGTGATTAATATGCGGATCAACAGATTATTCATCTGAAAAATCAACCTTTTTGATCTTTTCCAAATGATCAACTAGAAGTCAAGTTATTATTTGTTGCTCTTACAACTACGATTGATGACAAAACTTCTGTCAGGTGGTGTGTGTTGGCAGAATACAATTAGATTTGTTACACTGTAATCATATCTAACGATGATGATGATGACAAAATAAACAGATAAAGCTGTATCTGTAAGCAAAAAGTGAATGCATTCAGAGCTTCTACAGATTGTTCATAGGATTTATTAGCTCTGTGTATGACAGTTCTCCTGTGGGTTGATGCCCTACTTTTCAGCTTATGATTTCTAACAGCCGTGTGTCTGTGTGTGTGTGTCTGTGTATGTGTATGTAGATTGATGCTGAACAGCCCCCGGAAGACGTCTTTGAGCACATCTGCGTGGTCTTAGACTCCTGCTAGAGAGTTGGACTGGCACTGCCCCCTGGAGGACAGAAATATCACCTACACTTTCACTTCAGACTTACTCCACGGTACATTTCCACGCACACACAAACAAACAAACAAACACTCGCCTGCGATCAGCTTCTAAATGGTACACACACCCACTTGGAAAACTACCAACCAGCCACCGGCACCTGCTTATTTCACACTATCGCTGTTCACTGTAAATATATCAACCCAACAAATCGGCAGTGTTTATCTCTTGGTATTGAACCTGTGCTGTGCTAATGCTTAAGCTAACTTTCAGCTCTATAAAACACAAATGAGGATCATTTATGGTGCCGTTTTGCTGTTTTTTTGGACTTGTTCTGTCAGTATCCTTGAGCAATGAAATTAGCAAACCTGATCAGCATGAAGGTCCAGCCGCTGGAGAGGCTTTGTGATTTATACTTCATCATTTATATTGTGCCAAGCATGCCAGAATTGTGATTTGCTGTATATTTAATGCAGAAATGAATGAGCTGGAGATGGTTTGAATTTCACAGTCTGGCGTTCACACGGATCGATTTCACAATGAGGTCTGGTAACTGTATTCTTATTTATCAACCAAAGTGAAATAAAAGACATTTCATATGTTTAACAGTTCTATTTTTGTCTTCCCTTAAAAGACTTGATGTTGTGATTAAAGGTGAATGTACAAATAATTTAAAGTTCAAGATACGTATGCCACTAGAGAACGCGTAATTACAACAAAGGTCAAAGTCCCTTTAAGGCAAGTCATTTCACTTGGTGGCCTTCTTTAAAAAGGCTCTCTGGCATTCTGTCTGAATGGGGAAACATCAAATACTATAAAACTATTTGCCAAGCTTAGGAGTACATTACATATTTGGAATCACCAATAAAATTAAACAACTGTCTCATTAATTTATATTTTAATTGTCCCTGCTAAAAAATCCAGCTTAAACCAGCCTAGGATGTTTGGTTTAGCTGGTCATCCAGCCTGATTTTTAGAGGGGTTTCCTGGTCTTAGCTGGTCAGGCTGGAAAGTGACCACCTAAAACCAGCTGGACATAGCTGGTTTTGGCTGAGCTTCCAGCCTGGCTAGGCTGGTCAAGCTGGTTTTAGCTGATCATCTCCCAACCTGTCCAGCTAAAACCAGGGTGGAAATGCTGGAAACCAAATGCTGGCCAAAACCCCTCTAAAACCAGGCTGGTCGACTAGCTAAAACCAGCCAACCATCCTAGGCTGTTTAAATCTGGATTTTTCTGCAGGGGTCCGAATCAAAATCTGAATATTTTCAGGTTGCCTGATCTAATATGCATGTGCACTCAAAAGGAACAAATTTACAACACTAACTTCATTTATATCACCGTTCTATACAGGATCATCTGCTGGATGAAAAATAATAATTACAATACATAAATATCTTGTTAAAAGGACTTTTCTCGCAAAAAAATACATAATTATCATGTTAAAAGGACATCTTTTCTTGTAAAAATGACAATTATCTTTTTATGACGACATCTTTTCTCGTAAAAACGGCATAATTATGTCGTTAAAACAACATCTTTTCTCGTAAAAACGACAATTATCTAGTTATAACAACATCTTTCCTCGTAAAAACGGCATAATTATGCCGTTTTTATCATGTTAAAAGGACATCTTTTCTTGTAAAAATGACAATTATCTTTTTATGACGACATCTTTTCTCGTAAAAACGGCATAATTATGTCGTTAAAACAACATCTTTTCTCGTAAAAACGACAATTATCTAGTTATAACAACATCTTTCCTCGTAAAAACGGCATAATTATCTTAAAGACATCTTTTCTCATAAACATGACAGAATTATCTTGTTACTACGACATCTTTCCTCGTAAAAATTACATAATTATTTTGTTATAACAACATCTTTTCTCGTAAAAACCACAATTGTTAAAACAACAACTTTTCTCGTAAAGACCACAATTATCTTGTCATAACAACATCTTTTCTCATAAAAACGGCATAATTATCTTGTTACTACGACATCTTTCCTCGTAAAAATGACATAATTATCTTGTTATAACGACATCTTTTCTCGTAAAAACCACAATTGTTAAAACGACATCTTTTCTCGTAAAGAGCACAATTATCTTGTTATAACGATATCTTTTCTTGTAAAAATGACAGTTATCTCGTTAAAACATCTTTTCCTGTAAAACGACAATTATCTTGTTATAACAAATTTTTTTAAGTAAAAACGACAATTATCTTGTTATAACGACGTCTTTTCTCATAAACATGACAGAATTATCTTACTACGACATCTTTCCTCGTAAAAATGACATAATTATCTTGTTATAACGACATCTTTTCTCGTAAAAACCACAATTGTTAAAACGACATCTTTTCTCGTAAAGAGCACAATTATCTTGTTATAACGATATCTTTTCTCGTAAAAACGACAGTTATCTCGTTAAAACATCTTTTCCTGTAAAACGATAATTATCTTGTTATAACAAAAAAAATTTTACGTAAAAACGACAATTATCTTGCTATAACGACATCTTTTATCATAAAAACAACAATTATCTTGTTATAACGACATCTTTTCTCGTAAAAACATTTATCTCGCTATAATGACCTGATTAATAAGTCGTTATTTCAACATAATTGCTATTTTCTATATGAGCCACAAGATGGCAGAATAAGACAGGTCAATGTGCATGCTTTAAGTAAATACTTTAAGGTCCCAAAATTATAGAGCGTTAATATGGGAGTTTACCATATTCATATAGTCACGGATGTGTTCACTTGTTCCAGAATAATCTTTTGACATTAAACGTAACCCACAAATAGCTGTAAAAGGTTGTGAAACACTGTAGGCGTTTATTAGCCAAGCTAATAATGATGTTCTATAATTAATTAATTTATTTAGCAATAGGTTGTTTTGTAACGTTTTAACTGTCTATATTGCATCTTCACTTATCATTTTTGGTTTATATGTTAGTATTTTTTTGTTGGTAGTAAGATTGAAGAGAACATCCTGTTTCTACATCTATTGGCCTCCAAAATGTATTCCTGTCCTATGCTCGATCATGCCCGACTCCAACTTTTAAGGGTGGGCCAACTTTTAAGTGTTACATTAATTTAGTTGTTATTTTCCAATTAAAATAAGATGTTTAATAACTAAAGGTTGGCTAGAATGCATTTAAACATTAGACTTTGGAAAGCGTTAACAGATGAACCAAGACTCTTGGTCTTCATAGGCAGATAAATGTTGAAAGTGTCAGTGCAAAAAAATAAAATAAATAAATAAATAAAATATAATAATAAAATAAGACTAAACTACAGAAAAACTGCCAGAAGGAAAATGAATGAACTAATGTTGATATTTTTGCTCATTCCCTATTAATTTCATTTCTGACTATGAAAACCACAAATGTGACAATGTTACAACCAATGAGCATGCTTCAATGCTGGCCTCAATTTTTTGTGTGTTCACATACCAAATTCCATCAAAATCAGGAAGTTTTAGACCATTTATAGATTTATAACAACCTCAGAGAGTATTAGGTGCATTGTTATTTTGGGGGTCGCGGGCTAAAAAGTTTGTGAGACCCCTGGTCTAGATCAAATCTACATGCCTCAATACATTGCTGCCATGTGATAGGTTGATTAGAAATTGGCGTTAACAAGCAGTTGGACAAGTGTACCTAATAAAGTGGCTGTATGTGATATATATATATATATAAACAATTTTGTATTAAAATAATAATAATGATATAGCTAGATTACAAATATGTTCTTATATCTCTTATAAGCATTAATCCACTAGAATTACTATAGATATATTACTATATATTTATATGGGAGTGGTGTGTTTTCAGTTGTGATGTTTGGGATAAGATCATGGAGTAGTTTTCCAAGGCAGGCCTGAGTCGCAATGTTTCACCAGGGCAAAACACACAGAGAGTGACCTGCACTATAGAGGAATTACCAACTTACATTTAGTCATTTAGCTGACGCTTTTATTCCAAGCAACTTACAAATGAGGACAAGGAAGCAATTTACACAACTATAAAAGCAACAATGAATAAGTGCTATAGGCAAGTTTCAGGTATGCAAAGAAAGTGTAAGAAGCAAAACAGTATTTATTTATTTTTTTGTAGTTAGGTCAGAGAGGGAATTGCAAATTTGTAAGGAAAGTGGAGACTAAATAGTAGTTTTAAGTCGTTTTTTGAAGACAGCGAGTGACTGCCGTTCTGATGCAGTTAGGGAGTTCATTCCACCAACTGGGCAGATTGAACACATGACGTCACACGGGTTCAACTGCGCATACCGGTTGCAAAAAAAGACCGGTTGCTATAGCAAACATGTCGTATTGTGTAGAAGGATGCCAAATTCGAAATAGAAAACTTTAATTTTACCGTACACCACACTGCTTTTAATGCCAACTGCAGACGTCTGTGGCTAACAGCCATCAGAAGCGCTGAATGGAGTGAGGACCTAATTAAAATTGCTGGACTCTGCAGTTCTCATGTTATATCCGGTAAGTTCAGGCTATGCTGAAATGTTTTTGATTGCAGCAATGATTTCAGCCTAAACAAGTTAATATGGTTAAGTAAACTGCGGATACTGAATGCTAAGAATAAAATCTAAAAGTGTAAGCTCACAAACCCTGCGGTGCAGTTCGTTGTCAGAATGCTGCTGTTTTCCTTGTTGATGATTAACCATGCCTTGTATAGCTCGGTCTTCTTTCTTGTCTTTGGCTAGGCAGAACATCGGTTTTTAGCACTACAAAGTTTTGAATCTGGTAATCATGGAATATTATTTCCTGCACATGACCACATAGAACAAAATTGTGGCATCCAAAGACTTGTAGGCCTTTAACTTCTCTCAAATCACTTGGAGCTTCAATGAGATTGTATATTTGGGGCTGGATGCTTGGCCATTTCGTCTTATCCAATATCCATTGGGAGGGTGCTATCGCAAATAGACCTTTCAGATGAACGCCGCTCACTTTAACGTTAATTTTGCCGAATCACTGTGCTTCTCACTGGGTGGTGAGCTGTTATAATAATGTTTAAATAATATATATATATATATATATATATATATATATATATATATATATATATATATATATATATATATGTAATCAATATAACTTATTTCTAAGACAACAACAAACTCTGATGTCATTCCCTCGCTGTAAATGCTAGTGCTGCAGTTTTTTTCTGCAACCTGAATGCTTACAAACCGATAATTTGTCTATACATGTAATACTGAACACTTTTAATAAACCCATTAATGGTAGTTCTCCTCTAATTTGAATGTACAACAACAAAACATGATGTACTGCCCAACTGGCATATCTGCAATATAACGGTACCAACATTGGTAGAACATAGGAACTGTTACAGTGGAATGGACTGTAACAAACATTCAAAATAACACACCACCCTCTGCTGGCTGAAATGTCAAAACTAGAAATCACTTAAATCTAAAACACCATAAGAGCTCATCTTCTTAAATCATCCCTTAAATCAAGCTTAAAAATTAAGCAAGACAAAAAGCAGAATGAGACATCCAGAGTCACGTGGTGTAGAAAGACTTCTCACATACTTTTATTTCCACAGTTCTCCTCTAACAATTTTTTGTACATTATTTAAGAACAGATTGTTATACACAGATACTGAAGCAGGTCAAGGGAGGGGAGGTGAATAGAACAGAACCCATTACAAAATGGTCTACTTAAAGCACAACAAAATGCATGTGTATAAAAGAACAGGGCAGCAGCGCGCGTGTGCGACGGCTGCCCCCAACTCGATTCTCATTTGTTTTTGTTTTTTTTTCATCGTCTTTTTTAAATAGATTAATAAAAATACAATCTTTTCATGGACTGTGAGGAAACTGCGAAAATTAGAGGGATCTAAAGGCGTGATGATGGCTGGGCAAACGACTGCCACGAGTTCTTCATTTTCTTCTAAAACAAGTGGCCAGGTTTGAATCAAGTGGACAGGAAAGGGGGAAGAGAAAAAAAAATGGCACACGGCAACTACCACTGGCTACTTTTCACCATATATTTGAATACTCCACATGTTCAACGACAGTACACATTGAGAGAAAAGAAAAGAAAGCTCTCCACGTGTGCAGAGAGTGCAAGAACGCCGTCCGGATCTCAGCTGGTCTTCTCCGTGCTGTAGTGCTTCAAGGTAAGTGGAGTGGGTTGTTTTCTTTCTTTGAAATCGCCATTTAAAAAACAAGAAATGAATGTAAATAAAGTGACAACATCATGTAACGGTTGTAAGAGGAAATAAAGAGCAGCTTCTAGTGAAAATGGTAGCCCATGGCAAGAGACACACACACACACACACACACACACACAAACCGGGTCTGTCTGTCAGCTAGGATTTTTTCCCCCCCGTTCAGAACGTCGGAATTGCGAACGAACCTCCGTGATTGGTTCAAAACCTGGTATGAATCAAAGACATCAGCACCAAGTTCCTTTCCTTGCATCACAAAAAGAGCTCAAGCACAAATCTGGACTTATAAATATTTCAACTACAGACGACATTTTGCACTTTATCTTGAGCCTCTCTTCAGAATTCAGCTCCTCGGAGACGTTCCTCTCTGACAGCCGTCACTCAGGCGGCAGAACAAAGGGAGACACATCGGGTTGCCTTCGAAATGTCCTGGGATTGGGAATGTCGGTGTGCCTTTTCGTTCATTCGTTCGTGCGTTCTTCTCACTTCTTTTGATTTGAGATAGTGTTACTTGACGAGACCTGGTAAGGTTTGACACCCACGGCTGGGTGTTGCCCCCTCCCTCCCACAAACCCTCCCCCACCCCACCCCCCTCTGGCAGCGGTTCGGGGCGAGGTGCGGCCCGTCTGCGGTACCCTCTCGCCCAGACGTAAGCATTTCTTGACTTGGATGATGGAGCCATGCACAGAATGCCCTGGGGGCTGCAGGCCAGCCCTGAATAGTAGCGCTGGAGCTTGTCCCTGTCATCTGTTGGCAGGGAAGTAGTTGGGGTCCAGGTAGTTATAGCCTGTGCTTTGCGGTAAGCAGTAGTCTTTGTCCAGGAAGGTTTCGGCCTGGCAAACCGGCTCCAGTCTGTGTGTGGGCTTGTGGGTGTCCGTTCTGAACAAACTAAAGGGGCAAACAGAAAGGTGCACAGTTACAAAACTGAGAAAAATGACAGATTTATGCCTTCCTCCTGTCAGCAGGTGGCGCTATAATTGTGTAAAATATGGGTGTGTAAATGTCTTCGGGAGAAGAATCTTATTGAACATGAATTTTCTGGCAGGTCAGACATCGTGTGGCTTAGTTATAAGCCAAATTCCTTCTGTCAGCAGGTGGCGCTATGACTGTGACTCAATATAGGCATGTAGATGTCTTCAGGAGAGGATTCTTATCAAACCTGTGAATTTTCAGGCAGATCAGACATTGTTTGCCCGAGTTATAAGTACTTTCTCCTCCATGGCGAAGCACTGAACTTGGTCAGTCCGCCATGAACACGCACTTCAGTAAAAACTCAAGATCTTCACAATTTAGCATCACAAAGGCCTTTGGACGAAACTAATGGAACATGGATTCGATGTGATAAAATTTGTAGGAGGAGTTTGTTACACTATAAAACAAGTCATTTCCTGTTGTCAGCAGGTGGCGCTTTAACTGTAACTGTATATTTGCATGTAAACGTGTTCAGGTCAGGACTCTTATCTGTTTCGTGGCGAATCGTCAAAGTTTGCGAGGCCGCCACAGACACGCCCTTTGGCAAAAACTCTAGATCTTCGTGATTTAACATCGCTAAGGCCTTTAGATGACAAAAGCCAATTTTGGTGTTGATCCGATTTAATCCCTAGGAGGAGTTCGTTAAAACACAACACCTGGAAATGGCAAAAACTGCACTTTTTCGGCGGAGGAAGTTAAAAATATCTGACTTCCTGTTATGTTTGAGATTTCAGTCCAAGAGACTTTTTTTAGTATTTTTGTAGGTTTTAGCATGTTTGATGTGTGTGGCAATTTTCGTGCATGTGCGTGAGATAAAGCTCGGGGGCCTGTCTGTCTAATGTGCATAGGTGGCACTGTTGAGTCATTTTGCTATGAACACTTCCAAAACCTATAACAAACGTAAATCTTTGCCACTTCTGGGGCGTGTGCAAAGTTTTGTGAGTTTTCTGGCGTCTTTAGACCCTCAAAATCACAATATATTCCGGTGCTCGGTTGTTAAACATGTTATTAAATGTGCCATTTTCACCTGCTTCCAGATCACATGCAATGAGAAGCAATGCAACTAGCTGTCATTAGCTCTCTGTCACTAGCTCTCGATTTCAGGATCCCTCTATCTTTTACATAGCTCGTCACTGAACTATGGCTTTATATAGTAAATGCTGCTCCATCTGAAAGCAGCTGCTTGAGATTTACTACTGATCACAGAGCCGGCTTCACTGACAAAATATGTAAAAAAATCACCTTCATCGAATGGTGCAGCACTCTTCCCCTATTACTGTGACATTTGTTGTCAATCCTTCAGTTATTGAAACTACTCACACAAAATTGTTGTTAACCAATTTTGAGTTTGTCTGGTCAATAATTAACAATAAATTGTTCAAATAATTTTATAATTATAATAATTAGACAGTCATTCAACAAATGAAGAATGAATATCATCCTTTCAACACAGAAGTCAATGAAGTCTCTCACATGCATCTATATTAGCAGCACACAACACTTCAGTTGGATTCAAAAATCATGAACTCGTGCTTTTCTAAAAAAAAAAAAAAACCTGAAAAGTACCTCTGTGCTGTCAACTAATGCTTTTATGTGCTTTTTTACACCTTCAATGTGAATTATTAAGGCCTAATCACTGAAGCTGCAGGTTGTAAAGTCTGCACAGGAGGTGGCAAAGCTCTATAGATTCTGCATGCAATTGCACCATCAGCAGGAACTCTGGAGTGATGTAAGCCGGACAGAAGCCCAATCAAACTCTGCATTTAACAGAATCTAAAGCTGGAGGATGGAGGACGTCAAGATCAAAGCTGGTTTTTGTGCAATAACAATGGAGATGGAACAGAGATGAATGGAATCTAAAGTAGTAACCAAATTGGGCAATGGCCCAAATGACCCAGACTTAAATCATTCACAGTTCCGGCAGTGCCAACACACCCCAAAAAAGTTCTTATTTCATCATTACTGTGAAGAAGAAGCTAATTTAGCTCCCCATTAGTAGTAAAGGCATTCCTAGAACTAAAATGTTCTTAGTTCATGCTGTTTAAAAACAGGTAAACTGCAAATAGTTCTAGGAAGTATGGAAAAAGTTCCTCTGGTGTAAAAAAAAACTGTATAGCTGGATTTATATTTTCGGTTGGTGCCGCATTGTGCACCTCCGCACACTGCGCGCGCACCTCGCGAAGCGGAAAAGGCTTTTATACTCGCCGCGTTCGGCGTTGTGATATTCTTTAAAAAAAGGGGGCAGTCAAAAGAAGCTGACCTTAAAATCAGACGGATAAACAGAGAAGTAGAAAGTTTCTGGAACTGCGTCATATCATTACTATTATTCAATATTTTAAACAAAACATTTTTATTTTTATTTTATTTTGATGATTATAAGGATTATTATAACCATTTTTTTAAATCAAACTTTGATGCAGCACTTGCTTTTGTTCATATCTTGGTAAATTTTACCTATTAAAGTTTATTAAAATATTAATGACGAACCGTACCATTTTTTAGGTACCCTTTGCAAAGGTTACCTAGCACAACAAAAGGGAACCAAAAGGCTATATTTGAAATAACAAACTTCTTTAGCTCATATTAAAAACGTGCCTGTGATCATTGAAGTGCTTCTGACATTCGATCCTTTCAGAAAGAGACAAACCCTGAGAGTGAAGCGCGAAAAAACAAAGGAGAAGCTGGAAAAACAGCAGCAAATGATTCTTTCTGCAACAAGCTGCCATGTTTAACTATAATAATCACCTTCTGGACTATTATAAACCCAGAATGACGAAATTACTCTTTAACAGGGGTTACATCTGCTGGTGAAGATTACAGACACAGATGAGAGGTTTGCTCTAAATGTGGGCTATATTTCATGTTGTTTTTGAACCCAAATAAGGACTAAATATATGCTGTGTGTAGTTTTTCTGTAATTGGTAACATATCAGAGACTGTAAGGGGCTGTATGAGTTCATTTATGTTGCATTTATTTATTTATTTCATATAATTACAGACGTTACAGTAGGCTATCACCATTTCATTGATCTGCAGTTATAATCCTATCATGTTCTTAGAAAGGTAAGTAATGAACATTTATACACAAGTATTTATATGTATAAATCATCTGACTTGTGAGAAGTGCTTCTCATGATATGTGAATGACCAGTACAGCTTTACTGTGACACTTTAAGAATTTTGGTGAATGTGTCGGAATGCAGATAGATTTAAAGACATCAAAACGCAAGGGGAAAAAACATATTTTTTAATCTACACTGTTGTCTTCTAAATGTAATGTGAGACTCACCAGTCAGAGCAGGTACTGCAGAAGTCCACGGCGTTGTCCTGCGGGCAGTCCTGACAGTGCCACCGCACACCCTGGATGGGCTCCATGCCACATATGTCACACTGAGTGAGAATTACATGCCGAAACAAAAGATGCTGAGCATTAAAAACAGCCACATTATGCTATTATAGAGATGTCTAAAAGCTCTAAAGTTCTCATCCTTAATGGTTCATATTTACATGGAGAAGAAGGCTTTTAGTGCAAATGTCCTGTCGAGTAAACGCTAGTACATTTTTGTTTATGTGTATTTTTATATTATACATTTATATATTATATTATATCAAATTATATTATTTAATATTATATTATATTATATTATATTATATTATATTATATTATTTTTTATTTTATAATATTAAATTATATTATCTTATATTATATATTATTTTGTATTATATTATATTATATTACAACAAATTATGTTATATTTTATATTATATTATTTTATATTAAATTATGTTATATTTTATATTATATTATATTATTTTACATTATATTATATTATTTTATATTATTTTATATTATATTATATAACATTATATTATTTTATATTAAATTACATTATTTTATTATATTATATTATTTTATATAAAATTACATTATTTTATTATATTATATTATTTTATATAAAATTACATTATTTTATTATATTATATTATTTTATATTAAATTACATTATTTTATTATATTATATTATTTTATATTAAATGACATTATTTTATTATATTATATTATTTTACTTTATTTTATATTAAATTATTTTATATTATATTATACATTTTTTAATTAGGTTCACTCAAAAAAAATGTCTGTTGTTTTCTTCAGTGGAATACAATACAGCAATCAATGTTGTTTTTGTACTTTAACATGTTTTTTTTACAAGAAAGACAGTAATAGAGTGCTGGAACAACACAAATGTGCATATGTACCTTATAGCCGACGTGCTGTGTGAGAGCGCTCTCGGCCTGGAGCTCGTGTAGTTTCTGTTTCTTGAGTTTCTTCAGCTCCAGAAGCTCTTTGTACTCCGGAAGGTGTCGCAGCTCCACCGGTACCCCGTCCTCATCCTGAAACAACACAGCAGGGTTAGAACAGTACAGCACTATTCACCACATCAACTGTCAAACTGTCGCCACTACAACAGGCAGTCTATTCATACACAAAGCACATCAGCTAAACTTTAGATTCCCAAGGCCAAAATAAGGCTACACTGCCTGATTCCCAAGGCCAGAAGAAGGCTACGCTGCCTGATCCTGTCATTTAATGTCATCTGCTAAATGTCACCACATAAGTAGACATTTCAAAACAATTTGTTCCATTTATAATCTTTAGCTACAGTGCACCTGGAAACTTTTCATAGCGCTTCACTTCAAGAAATATGATTTAAGTGACTGTGAACGTGACATGGTTGTTGGTGCCAGATGGGCTGGTCCGAGTATTTCAGAAACTGCTGATCAACTGGGATTTTCACGCACAACCATCTGTAAGGTTTACAGAAAATGGTCTGAAAAATAGAAAATATCCAGTGAGCGGCATTTCTGTGAGTGCAAATGCCTTGTTGATGCCAGAGGAGAATGGCCAGACTGATAGAACAGTAACTTAAATAACCACTCCTTAAAACTGACGTATGCAGAAGAGCATCTCTGAACACACAATATGTCCAACCTTGAGGCGGATGGGGTACAGCAGCAAAAGACTACACCGGGTGCCACTCCTGTCAGCTAAGAACAGGAAACTGAGTCTACAATTCACACAGGCTCACCAAAATTCAACAATAGAAGATTGGAGAAACATTGCAGGTCTGATGAGTCTCAATTTCTGCTGCAACATTTGGATGGGAGGTTCAGAGTTTGGCACCAACAACATAAAAGCATGGATCCATCTGCCTTGTATCAATGGTTCAGACTGGTGCTGGTGGTGTAATGGTGGGGGGATCTTTTCATGGCAACACTTTGGGCTCATTACCAATTGAGCATCGTGTCAACACCACAGCTGTAAGAGCCAGTTATGCATAATTCATTTGTGATAATAATTTTGTTAAAAAGGTTAAAACATGATAAAAATTTATATTTAAATATAGTAAGAATTCATTGTGATTGTATTATCTAAAATGCATAATTTAATAATTGATACAATTTAAAAACCTTTACTTTGGTATTTTGGCTTCCGACAGCAATACGTCATGAGGTCATTAGTTCATACATTTAAGTCAGATTGCAGTTATGGATGTTGGAAGCAACACAGTTTTTTGACCGAGCTGATCGAGTCTATTGTAACTTTGTATTTTTGTTTGCATTTCTTCAGTAAACATTTTTTAAAAAGAAGATTCGGTCTTACTTGCGTTTTTGCAAATACTGGTTGTTGGAATAGAAGCTGCAAAAGATGATTTGCACGAAAGGTGTGCCACTACAACAGCCTACCTGAGTATTGTTGCTGACCGGGAGTGTACATTGTATAATCAAAGAAGATACAAAATAGACAAAATGACTTTTTAATAATTTTTTAGAGCCTTAATTTCTCTAAATTTATTTATCAACTCTTAATATTTTTAAGACACCACAGACATCCTTTTTATAGCAAGGAAAAGCTCCATTCCTAATCTTCATTTTCAACGCTTTTGATGTCACGCTTCCCAGTAAGCCCCTCACTAATTCATGTAAGGTTCCCTGATGCCTGGCAACGCACAATTGGTTATGTTCTCTGCAGGACTCGCTGACCGGCGTCACATAAAGGTTACGTATCAGAGACAGAGAAAATGTCAAGCCACTGCAGTCACTCAACACACGGCCCTCTTTATACACAGTTCAGCCGAAGAGACGCAAACACGGAGCCATCCTCTAATGATTCAGTCAAACGGCAGCTCATCATCGTCAAATGATCAAATAAAAGCAAATCCCGACTGAAAATGCCAGTGTGGAGTGTTTAATTGATTTCCTGTTTGAGAAAGACAATTAAATATTTGCCAGAGGGAAGGAGAGAGAGGCACTATGATGGAGCGAAATGAAAAAAAAGTGAACTTTTTTTATTTTAGTTACACTTTACCTTACTTATAGTGTAGCTATTCATTTGGGCAGTAATTCAGAATTCATGCTGATTATATACAATTATACATTTCTGTATAGGCCAGAGACACTGCTGCAAAAAAATGTCTAACTGCATGTCTAGTATTAGTGGTGTCAAAATTAATTGTTTCTTTGGTGCACCGCGATGCAGACGGGGAAAATTCGATATCGCTTCAGTAATAATCAAAACCGGTGATTACGTACTGACGTCATTTATCTCCTATGCGTGATATCGCAGTAGAATACTATGGCAAAGGAGGCGAGGGCGAGTAAATAAAACGCTCTTACTACTTAAAAGGTAGATGATAATGCACAGTTCCACTGCTTGTGAGTTTGCTGGAAAGTCTTTCATTGACACTAAAGAAGGCACAGCACATGAGGCACGTTTTCACTACTAGGGAGAAATCTCGTACTTTTGATATTGGCCCGCTGGCGTGTTTGTGAGGTAGCTTTTTCTCTCCTCTTGGCTGGTAAAGCGATACTTGTGGATCCGGACACGAGCGTGCTTGAGGTTTAAGTTTTCTCCACTGTGTCTATTATGGATTACCTGTGATAACCGCGTATTATGTGCATATATACTGTAACCCCGGCTGTTCTTCCCGCGTCTCTCATTGGTAAACAGCGCTTTAATTTCTAAAGCCAATCGCAGCCCTTTATGTTGAGCAGGGGAAGACAATAACCAATCATAGGGGTGTAAGACCTCTTTTGGGATAATATTTACATTAGTTTATTTGCTATAAATGCTCATGTTGTTCTGCGCATGTGTTGAAATTTTGTTTGACGCATACACAAAAAATCTTTTTTCTTTGAGCTGGTCAAATTAAAGGTACAGTCCATATAACTTACTGCTTGTAAGGACAAAATTAATATATTTATAGATTTCAATAAAAAAAAAGTTATTGTGTTGTGAAGAAAAAATCTAATTATGTATGGAAAGCATCATCAGTGCACTGTGATGCACCAAGATATCCAGTTAAATTGAATTGATGGCATGATAATCGTAACCAAACCGAACCGTGAGACCAGTGTAGGTTCACACCCCTATCCGTTAGTGTACAATGGATGACTGCAAATTTTTTTAAGTTGAATAAAGATAAAACTGCAATTCTTATTGTGGGCAAAAAAAAACCTGAACGAGAGAGGATTGAACCAGAATTGGGCTCCTTAGGTTTACAATGTCAAAGAATTAAAGAACTTGGGTGTTATTTTCAATGCTATTATGATCTTAATCTTAAATCTCATATTAATCAAGTTACAAAAACACATTTTTATCATTTGAGAAACACTGCACTGCACTGCCAGAATTCGTTCTTTACTATTTTTGAATGATGCTAAGAAATTCATTCATGCTTCTATTTTCTCTCAGCTTGATTACTGCAATGCTATTTATATTGGGTTTACCTAAAGGTTCTTTAAGGGAGTTGCAACTGATAGAAAATGCAGCAGCCAGAGTTTTAATGCAATTGAAGAAACGAGAACATATTGCACCAGTGCACAGTTATACCAGTGCACCAAAGTATATATTTTAAGATTATTTTATTAGTTTATCAGGCACTTCATAACCTGACAACTTCTTATATTTCTGACTGTTTATGGCGATATAATCCAAACCGTTTGTTACGCTCTTCTAGTGCTGGACTTTTAGAATTTCACTCTAAATCTGATGCGATCTGGCAGCACCTCTTTTAGTCACTATGCTCCAAAAATTTGCAATTGTCTCCTAAATGAAGTGAAAGAAAGCCCCAGCATTCATGTTTTTAAAAAGTGTGTTAAGACGCACCTTTTTAAAACTGCATATGTGAAGGGTAAGCATTTTAAATATACAGTTGAAGTCAGAATTATTAGCCCCCTTTCATTTTTTTTTTTTTTTTTTTTTTTGAGCAAGGAAATTTTACAGTATGTCTGATAATATTTTTTCTTTTGGAGAAAGTCCTACTTGTTTTATTTCGGCTAGAATAAAATCAGTTTAAAATGTTTTAAAGACTATTTTAGGTCAAAATAATTTTAAGCCCCTTTAAGCTATACTTTTTTTCGATAGCGTACAGAACAAACCATCGTCATACAGAAACTCAACCTATTAACCTAACTAACCTAATAAACCTAGTTAAGCCCATGTCACTAAGCTGTATAGAAGTGTCTTGAAAAATATTAAAATTATTTACTGATCCACCATGGGTGGTCCACTGTCATCATTTACTGGCAAAGATAAAATAAATCAGTTATTTGAAATGAGTTATTAAAACTATTGAGTTCAGAAATGTGTTGAAAAAAAATCTCTCCGTTAAACAGAAATTGGGGAAAAAAAATATACAGGAGGACTAATAATTCTGACTTCAACTGTAAATATGCATATTGTGTACATGTACAGTGTGTGCATGTATATGCATATGTAAGGAATATTGTTCGTGTTTGTGACTATTGTTTTAGATATATGCGTGTACATGTATGCTTTTATCTGAGTGTATATTTGTTGTTTACTTTTCTTCATTTGTCAATACATTTATTTACAAATCGTGTTTGCTTGTTGTTTGTGAGGCGCTTTGAGTTGCATGCATGTAGAAAAAGTGCTATACAAATAAAATCTATTAATATTATCATTATTTATTTAACCCTTGTGAGCCGTAGGGGATGTTTTCATCCACCCTGGAGTGATTTCGAGTCTTAATTTGGCCACAATTTTTCCAGTTTCAGCAAATTAAACAACTTTTTGTGAAAAATCTTATTTTGACACATGTTTTGGGTAAATGTTTAACAATATACTGGGCAAATTTCATTACTACTCTTTCATTATGCTAGTGACTGTTGTTGCCTCATTGACTTCCATTGTAATGACAATGTTTGATTGCAATGACACAATATATTCAATAAATCATCAGTTTCAGTGCAAAACAGCTCAGTTTTTGGCTTTTGTATGGTGTTAAATGGAGTGTGTTAAAATCAAAATAAGCACCTCAGCAGAACATTGTAAACATGTTTTGCATGCACCGTATAAATCGCTGTTTTTGCTCTATAGAACTCCATATAAAAACCAGAAACATTTTTTGCTCAGGCCTATCTAAAGCGTTAAAGGTGAAAACTGAAGATCAACAGTAAAAATGGCTAATTTCACCTCTTTCTTAACAGTGACAGTTTCTTAATTTCTTAACAGTAAAAACCACCAACAATCAAGAATGCATGATTATATGGTGTCATGGACTTGCAATCAAAAAAAATGTTGTTACAATGGAAGTCAATGGGGCAATAAAGCCACTAACATAATGAAAAGGTAGTACATTTGAACAATACACAAGGGTTAACTAGTGAGTAATATTAATTAATTACATCTACTGACTATATGGTTGGGAATAGAATGTGGCTTAAGCCTGGTTTATACTTCTGCGTCAAGTGACCGGCGTAACCCACGGCACATGCAACGCCCGTAGCTGTGCATTTATACTTCTGCACGCTGTCTCTGATGGTCTGCATTAACACTTCCGAAACGCTAGTTGGCAGTGAGGTGTTAATGTTCCACTGTGTTGAGTTTCTTCGCTGCTGTTTTGCTTTTCCTGAACACTTCCTGGATGTACAAGTGGCTCAAACTCGCTCATTTTAAGGCAGGAACCGGCGGACATGCAAAAACTTTAACTATGAGGTAAACACAAAACAAAACTTTCCATCCGGAGCTCCTTCACGGGACTCCACACTTGTAAACTATCGCTACATTGGGCTCGCATCCAGCTCGTGCCATTCGCGCGGCTGTCGGTCCCGCCCAGACTCGTCAGCGCTACCAACCGGCCAATCACAGAGCTTGCGCTACACGTTGTAGCATACGCTGGCGTTTGATGCAGAAGTATAAATCAGCCTTTAAGCTTATGATTAGTTAGATGTAAATATGCATAATATTACTATAGTAAGTGCATGGAACATGTGCAACGAAGAAACCTAAAGTGTTACCTTCTTTATTTTTAAGACCTAATTAAAACCTGGAATAAAAAATATGATCTTAAGCAGGACTGACCGAATCATCTGCGCTGTTATCCTGCAGGCTGTTGAAGAAGTGTGAGCGTTCATCCTCGTCATCCATGTAGACGGGCGGTTCATATGAGGTGAGGAACGTTGAGGGCCTGTACAGGTGTTTGTTGAGGTGGTGCTGTCGCTTACTTGAGGCCTGCGGTCACAAACAAGACGTTCAGTCAATAAATATGCAATCAAAAAGCAATTTAAATAACTAATCATGGAATTTTAACAGGGCATTCACACAGATACACACCCATGTAAAGTCTGGGATCAGTAAGACCTAGTTTGTAAAAATAGTAGCAACTACATTTAGAAAGAAAACTACACTTATCAAGGTTATGTTGTTACAAAAATCAGCTCAGTTCAGGCTAACCTATTCATCACAGAATCTTGAAAATATATTACATACAATACGCTATTTGTACATATTAGTGGTGGGCTGTTATAGACGTTAATCTATTCTCAAAGCTGGGTTGGAAGCTGGGTCTATTCTACACAAGCTATGGTGACTTTCACCTTGATATTTTAGCGTGGATGTATACCTGACCGGTGAGCCGTCTGACAAAAAAGTGCCCTTCTGAACCAAATCAGCAGGATGCCCTTCTGAATCTTTCACTTACTTCGAAGACACTACTGACTACGCTTACTTGGACATCTGTAATCTAGTTAATTGCCTTAATAGACAAAAATATAATGAAGGTGTTTATGTGAAGTGCTTTCATGTTAGAGTTTCCTGTAGTTTTGGGTGACTTTAACTGCAGTTTCACTTTTTCTCATGAACATTTTATTCATGCACTCGTGACAAACTGGGGTATTAGAATTTAATAACACACGCCAATTGAAAAGAAAAAAACTTCCCCATTTCACGATGTGTGCGCGGTCCTGAAAGCCGCGTGTGTGGATCTTGTTGGAAAATATGTGGAAAAGTCCTACATGACAGTGAAAGTGTGATTGCGGTGTTTACCTTAATAATAGCACTTATATATGCATACTCCACATGTCTTAATTCCATTTCTGTTTAGTTCAGTTATGACTTTAGTCAGATTAGGATGATAAAAAAAATAATTAAAAAATAATTATAATTTTTTTTTTAAATAATAATAAAAATAGCTGTTTTAAGCTTATGTCGGCCTACAGTTCAAAATTCATGTTTAACTGAATAAACAGTTAGTAAACACAAGTACACCTTATTGAACATCTTTTATTTTCATCACCAATTATAGTGGAACAGTTTCTCAAGCAGTTTGTGATGCATTTTGGAAACAGGAGATGAGCCCCTGGTCTAATGCGCCACCTGGCTTGAGAAACCCATTCTGAAAGACTTATTTTTAGTCATTATTTGGGTATTGCATTACATAAATATTCCATCCATCCATCCATCCATCCATCCATTCATACATCCATCGTCGTATCCGAAGAGCGAGGAGGGATGCGGTGGGGAGGAGTGAGAAGGGTGCGTGACGTATTTGAGGACCGGGAGGGAGACGAGCGATTTCAGGGAGATTACAACTCATTTTCGGGCACCCGGAGGCCTCTGTGCATTTACGATAGACTCCCGGAACAGGGAGACTTGGGATGTCTGGAATGACCTCCCAGCCTACTCATAATTCTCTCTTCATATAGCCAAATGCCTATTACACATCCATGAAACACTGTGATATAGCCGGGCTCGGATCGTGTCGCTTTCTCACTACAATTGCTCTACTCCAGAGTTCGTTTCAATCAGGGCCGGAGTGGGACTCATTTTCAGCCCTGGAGTTTCAAGCCAGACCGGCCCACCTCAGTTCACGACTGATTCCAATTCAGTTGTTAATGGCACTATCACGTTTTTTTCAAGAAAACTGCTGCTTTACAAATTCAAATGTTCAACAGCCCTAACAGTATTTTATGTCTTAACAATAAAATCGAAAAAAAAAAAAAAGATTTTTTATGGGAGATTCGATCATAGGTCTGTGAATCTGAATTGTATTGTGCTTACCACTGGACCACGTTGGCGCTATTACAGTGAGAGTAAAAAATAACTAATGGCTTGCCACCCTCAAGACACAGCACTACTTTCTTTTGATGGCTCAATCTTTTTCTCCTATTTTTAGATTTCTGATCAAGTTATGTCAGATTTATTAATGTAGTGAATCATTTGATTTTCATTGAGCAGGTGTATTATTCATTTTATTCGAATTCTTATATTCACTAAGGTGCCGCTGTTTGGGGTCGATAGTTGCATTACATCATCATCATTAACGTTAGTTAACCTGCAGGCTGCATTTTTCTCACGGGGCTGCGAGAAAATAAATAAAAAGAGCGGCACTACGGCAAAATAATGATTAAAAAAAGTAAAGCTATGGTCAAATAAATAAATAGAAGAAAAAAGTGTGACTGCTGAGAGTGCAAGCAGCTAGGGACACCGGCCCTCGCGGCCAAAAAACAGACCGGCCCACCGGGAATTCTCCCGGTCCTCCCGATTAGCCAATCCGGGCCTGGTTTCAATCGAGCCGAGACCACCTCATTCAGGCGATTCCGGGCTAATTGTTTTGCTGCGGATCAGAGAGCATTTGCTGATTCACATATGCCAAACGAACCGCGCTAACTGGGGAAATGAGACAGGTTCCGAAACAAAAGTCTAGGTGTGAAAGCACCCTAAGATTACAACAGAGAAAATTAAGATTAAAACAGTCCTCTTTTTTTAGTGTATTTTTGGCAGGCACAATGGTGTGATTAATAGTTATTTGTTTATTTCAACAAATAAAGTTGGGAATAATAATTACAATTGCGAGACTTCAATGTTCTTTTTGTCAGGAGCATTTTCACTTTCTCCTGCATTCACAGGCGTGCTTTTGTTGAAAGGTTTAAAATGATAAGGCAGTGGCCCTGCACTGTCATCAAACAGATAATGTGACTGAGGAGAATCTGGTGGAGAGAAATCCTGCACTTTTTTACACAGCTCTTAGATCCGCTGCTCTCCGAGTCACAGTCTATCTCGCCTGTGCGTGTGTTTGAAAATCAGCATGTGCACGTACTGAAACTCCCCTTTTCATGCAAACCCTTCCTCTTTCGCCACTTGACACGCCCACCCAAACAGAGCTGGACCACTTTTTTCAAACTAGAGGTGTAAAAACACCCTGCTGAGACAGGGGGCTTCATGGCTCTTTAAACAGTCACAAACCCTTTGTTGTAGTAAATAATGTGTAAAGATAAATATACAAATTATGTGTACATTACATGACATATAAAGAAAATAATACAAATGTAAAATTAATTTAAAAAAATGATTATACCTTTTTGCTGTACATGCACACATTGGGTGTTCTGCCGGGCACTGGAATTCCAGCCTTTGTCAGTTTTATGAAATACTTCTGCACCCTGCTAGCAACCTGCAGAGAAAAGCAACAAACATTTGACATAAAAAGAGCTGGCCATAAATTCAGTGATGAAGCTTTCTGACCACAGCTTTTATATTTTCAGACTCTTGTCACATTAGCAAAAAAAAAACCCATCTGTAAACAACAGAGCTTCCATTAAATGAGGCTTTGAATTGCATGACTTATTTATTGAGCAGTGAAAATGTGACTAGAAAGAGAAGTCCGTCAATGCTATGAGAGAATGGGCAGGCCCTGAAGACGCACCTGTTTGGCGGTCCTGTTGCCAAGTTCATCTGCGATCTTCTGCCAGCGTTTAGACTCAACCTCCTCTGGTGGGAACTTCAAAAGCAGCTGCTCCAACTTTTTCTACAGGTTTCACATACAAGATGAGATGAGAAAACAGCTACACCAAAGACTAAAATGTACATAATAGCATACGTTCACAAATTTAAATGGACAATTGTTAGGGCTGCACGATATTTGAAAAAATTAGCGATATTTTGTTTTGTTGCGATATAGATTGCCATATAAACAGCATGATTTGGAAAGAATTCATTAATTTAGACTGGGGATTATTCTGGAAGAATATAGGGATTACTACTGAAAACAATAGAAGTGAAATATTTTAAAATCACAGTATTTAGGTACAGAAGTTAAATATTCAAATATAGAATATTCACACTATACACTTACTGGCCATTTTATTAGGTACAGGTGTCCAACTGCTTAACGCAAATTTCTAATCAGCCAATCACATGGCAGCAACTCAAGGCATTTATGCAAGTTGACATGGTCTAGACGATCTGCTGCAATTTAAACCAAGCATCCGAATGGGGAAGATGGGCTGGTCTGCGTATTTCAGAAACTGTTGATCTACTGGGATTTTCATGCACAACCATCTCACGGGTTTACAGAGAATGGTCAGAGGAAAATGGCCAGACTGGTTCCAGCTGATAGAAAGGCAACATTAACTCAAATAACCACTTGTTACGAGTGAGGTATGCAAAAGAGCATCTCTGAACGCAAAACATGTCGAACCTTGAGGCGAATGGGCTACAGCAGCAAAAGATCACACTGATTCCCAACTTTCTTCCCAGAAAAAGTGTGAGTTTGAACTGTTGTTACTCCATTTTCTGTGCAAACTCAAAACATTGGCAAAAAAACACAGTTTTACACAGAATCCCCACTGCCAACTACTATTTCGGAAGTGTTATTGCAGAGCAACATGGACAGAACGCAGAAGTACAATTGCTCACAAGGATATCAGCAACATGGGGGGGATGCCAATCTCACAATAATAAAGTATAAATTGGACTAACAGTGTTACAACCTGTGCACATTTAATAGTTTGTTTAAATTTGTTTATAGACGTCTCAGAGTTCACAGCTACTAGTACTACCTGCTCCTCGATGGTCCACAGCTGGTTGAAGGTGTCTGGTTTGCTCTGGTTGCACAGCCTTCCTCTGATCATCTAAACAAACATCATCAGTAGGAAAATCAACAAAACAGCATACATGGGCATTGTGGCTACACTACACACACACACACACACACACACACACATATATATATATATATATATATATATATATATTTTGTCTGTCTACAGAACAACCCGTCGTTATACAATAACTTGCCTAATTACCCTAACCTGCCTAGTTAACCTAATTAACCCCATTAAGCCTTTTAACGTCACTTTAAGCTGTATGGAAGTGTCTTGAAAAATATTTAATCAAATATTATTTACTGTCATCATGGCAAAGATAAAATAAATCAGTTATTACAAATGAGTTATTAAAACTATCATGTTTAGAAATGTGTTGAAAAAAAAAATCTTCTCTCCGTTAAACAGAATTTGGGAAAAAAATAAACAGGACGACTAAAAATTCAGGGGGGCTAATAATTCTGACTTCAACTAACCTATTAAAGTTAAATATTAATGGCAATAGAACTTGGGTTGCTCTACAATTATATATTTTTTTAATTATGGCAATAATAAAAATAAAATACTGACCTTTTTTTTTGTTTTTATTTTGCCCACTCAACAATTCACACATTACTGTCTAGCTAGCTTAGTTATCACCAATAAAGCCTAGAAATTGGGAAATAGTTTGAAAAGAAAGACAATTTCAAAAGAGGGCAAATAATTCTGATTCAACTGCGTCAAAAACATAATTTGTTATTTAATTTTAGTTTGTAACTTGTAAATTGTTTTAAATTTAAAATTGTCATATATACATCAGTGTGAAGCCTATGAATGGTGGAACACATATTCTGTAATATTAAAACCACCTGGGTCTCCACTTTTGCATGGTCTCTTTTTTGTTTTAACAAACTTATCCCTCAGATTTTTCCGAACTTTTCCAAAAACTTTCCTCCTTTCCCACTTGTGTTGCAATTTCTAGCCAAGAATTATTGGTCATCTGGTTCTACTTCTTCCTATGATCACGCATGGACGAATCATAAAGAAGATGTGTGTACAGTCATACCTATTTCAGACAAAATCTCTTCAAAGTGTTTCATATTCAACTCAAATCAAATGCGGCGCCGTGCAAACTGTTGACCCGAGTCTCAAAACATTTTGTGAGCTCCGCTAGCCAAAATCATGCCGTGCGCACCCAAAGCAAATCTCCGCAAACACAGTGATGACGTCACATTCACAGCGCACAGTAAGATCAATAACAGAAAGCTGATTGGCTATTGTCGGTATTGGGCATGTCGGTCTTATTTGTAGTAAATTACAATTGACCCTTCGCTAAGCCCCGCCCTCCTTAGTTACTGTTGCTACGCCTGTCAAGCTTTCGTGCCTGGCATGGCTTTTTCAATGTGTGTGCGCCGGTGTCAGACATTGCCAGGGATATAATGTCATTTTTGCCGAACAGGTAAGATATCCGAGAAAGCCAGACAAAAAAGGACTGCAGTATGCATTACAGGGGTATATTCACGGCATAATAGGCAACTGATTAGAGAATAAATCAATCAAAATTAAAGCTAGCTTAGCCTAGCCGCCTCATACGCTAACCATTCAACAGCTTAGCTCATGCTCAGCAGGAGATTTGAGATTTAAAAATAATCTAATAATAACTAATTAAACTGTGATTTCTCTATTTTTAGCCAAAAAGCCTGATCGATTAATTAATGTGCAATGAAATATAGCGTTACTAACCCACGAGGAAAAACATGACAGTGCTTTTACATAGTTGAAATTGATCGATTTGGACTGAATATTAGCATCATTGACCCAAACCAATGTACAGTAAGTACTGTCAGTATGTGTGTGTTCTTTATAAATGAATGAAAAACAGCTGCTGGTAAAGTATACTGATCGCAAGTGCTCAGTTTGTGATCATATCTCGGTTTTGTTCTGTTGATTTGTAATTTCAAATATGCGTAGCTTGGAAGAGATGGAAATAGGAAGTTCAGTAAAGTTAGCAACAGATTCGCAGATTTGTATTTTTTGGATCAATAACTCATGTCATTATGACCTACTTGCTATTAGTATGACTAAGTTACTAACATTATGGCGAAGGCTTAAACAGAGCCTTATCATAATATTGAGCGAAAAAAAAAGAATAAGACAGCTGTGAAACATAACCAGCTTTGTATTTTTGTAGGAAACACAGTTTAGATGTTTAGGGTAAGAGGTGTGTGAGTTTTTGCCGTCTGTCTATTAATGAATGTGTCAGGAGTATCAAAACAAAACCAACTTAGCTCCACTCCTTTAGCGCCCCTCACAGTGCTTGATAAACGCTGGCATTTCTCCTCTTGGGTTTTAGGTTTTGAAAAGGGAAAAAAATTCCACCATCCAATCCAAACTTTTAAGGATACTGGGTATCAGATTTGCACAATCCATATGCACTCGCTCGAAGACTTGACAGAGCCCCTGCGCGTAGCTACAGTTGCTAAGCCACGATTGGTGGGTGGCGGTTTTTGGGTGTGGCTTAGCGAAGGGTCAATTGGACTTGTGAAATAAAGAACTACAACACCACGAAAACCAAGCAACAACAACAAAAAAGAATTTAAGTGAGCACTCGATGTAGCGTTACATGGACATCGGAAAAATAAGTGTAAAAATATTTAAGATATATATAAAATATTTAAAATATTTACCAAGAACAGTGAATTGAATTTTGATTTTAAATTTTCGACTTTTAAGACCCTGCGAAAATCCTGTATTATCTTTTTCTAGCCAAAGTAAAGCAAATAAGACTACCTTCAAAAGAAAAGGAAAAAAAATATGTTAGAAAATACTGTGAAAATTTCTTTAATCCATTAAATACCACTTATTTAACCCTTAACTGTGTAAATATTGAAAGTACTTAGCAACAAAAGGATTGCAAAGTGAGACATAATTGACACGCTTTGTGTTTGAGCCAGGCGTATTCAAAGCAGCAAATCCCTATTATTTACAGAAGTTATAAGCAATGTTGTGATTTCACGTCATTAATCAGTTGCCTTTTTCACAGCTTGAGAAGAATAACTTTAAAAACCAACAGCTGAATAAGCGAACTGACACTAAAGCACTGCAATGCCTTTACACATTTAATGACAAGGTCTACTAATAATTCCTTATCTAGTAGACCAGCGGATATTCAGTATTTATCAATTTAACATGCATACGCTCTATATGACAGAGAGGGAAGGTCCGTCTAACTGTATTTGTTTCACAGCATAGCCAGCATGGATAAACACGACTCAAGAGCATTCTGAATAAAATTAATGAGATGAACTGACTGGTGAGAACCTAAGGGAAAAGCTAGCTTTTCTGAGCAGAGCACTTCCACTAAACAGACCAGGAAACAACATTGAGACAAGCTGTGTTCGTACAACATGCTTGTGGTGCATGTGATGTTGAAACGCTAGTTAAAAATGAATATGGATGGAGATACTGTCCTCTCAGGGAAGATGTCGTGTATGCAGACCACATCCGAGTTCATGCCCTAGGGCTCAAGCTCATGCACATAACAAGAAACAACATCAAGTTAAATGTTAGGTCTTGATCTTATTATGGTTTGGGAAGCAGCGGTGTGTGATGAAACATGGTGAAATCGTAGGTCACGGGGAAAATAAAACGAGCAAATCAAGAAAGAGAATCTGCAAGCCTATGTTTTCCTCTACAAAGCAGAGTATGCCAGCGTGGAGGGTTATGATGGTGGTAAACTGTGATGGAATATAAATGACGTTAAGCACAAAGACATGATTTGAGTTTACCTGTGCTCTGCTACTGGACATGCTGTGTTCTGGACCGTCACTCGATGGCAAAGAGGAGGAGTAGATGGATGAGGATTCTCCCTCCTTCTTGGAATCCACAGGACTTTTTGGTCGAGCAGGCAACCCCACTAAAGAAAGACAGTGGCCATTTAAACAGTTTTGCTTTGAAAGGGATTCTGCAAGTTTCACCAAGTTAAATTAAAGACGGAAAACATTTTTAAGACTATGAATTAAATTTTAGACTTACACAGGGCTAAATGCTAAGGAATTTTTTTGAATATCCAAGTTAGAAAAGATTTTTATCACTTGCCCTATCAAAAAATTATTACATTTGAATAAAATAATAATGATACCTATTGATAAAAAATTAATAATGATCAAAAATGTACACATTTAATAATTCATTCATTTTCGAAAAAAATCCTTGCACTGCTTAACATAATTTTTGAAATGTTTCAAAAATGAAATGATTCACAAGAAGCCTAATTATTTTGACTTTAACTGTGTCTGTCTTATATGCTTGTTTTTTGTTTTTAATTGAGAAGTCCCTGGGATACAACATTAGTTTATAACATTAGCATATAATCATGCTAAACATTATTTTATAACATTAGCATATAATCATATGTCTCCTCACGGTTTGTGTCTCATTTTGTGAGCTGACTGACAACACTGGTTCGCTCCCCTCCTTCTCCCCTGCTCTGCTGGCCACGCCCACTTCTGCCTCTGATCGTGGAGCTCCACGCCCATTATGATGCATTTTTTGAAAAAATTCTGAGGTAGACCTGAACCGAAAGTAGGGGTATCATGGCCCTTTAAATGTCTTAAATTTTAAAAGCTAAATGTTCTGCCTTAAAAAGTCTTAAATCAACTGAAATATTGTGTTGTAGGTCTTAAATCTTTATATAACTTTATTTCCCTTTGTTTATGTATAGCGACCCAATCTGGGGTGCGTTTCCCAAACAACGACGTAACTCACGGCTGAACTTTTATAGTACGGTGCTTCGTTTGGGAAAAGAACAATGTAGTGACGAGTGTTTCCTAAAACGCATAGTTTCTCTATCACAGATCCATCGCTTGAACCACGTTAGTTGTAACGTAAAACGCCCATTTTGATGCTCTAAACAGGGTAGAGTAACTACTTTAGAGAAAAACCCATAACTTCTTTGTGCAAATTATATTGTTTTACATGCACAACCATTTAAAATAAAATCCAATATTACATTTGGTAAAAACATGCACTTGCTTTGATACAGTATAGATATACAGTATATATACTTAATAAATAGCCTACTATAAATCACATCATATCAGGCATATGATGGTGATAAACACACACACGCAGTCCTTTTTTTTCAATTTAACAACATATAAACGGTGGACTAATTGGAGGGGTTTTCAGAGTGACCGCAACTTGATATAGGAGCACGGCCCCCCCGCCCAACAATATTGATTGACAGGCACATCACCATATCCTTCGTTTGTTGTTTCACTTCCACCATTTTCAGCGTGTGAGCCAAAGCGAGCAAAGACATCATTAAAGGAACACCCTTGCTCTATTTTTAGATGTAAGGCTCATTGGGCTCGACACAAGATCAATTTTCTCCACATGATCACTTTAATCGGAATTATTGTTTGTACCTTTTGGTAGGTTTGCAAACATCTGTACTTTTTATTCCATCTACGTTAAACTTCAGCCGGTTGCATCACAGAAGCTCCCTGTGATCTTAGGTGCAGCTGGAAAAGTGCAAGCGCGTTGCCTCATGTGCGCGTCTCTCTCCATTGGAAATAAAATAACAAACCTGCCTGCAGGTCACACCAGAAGCGCCTCTTTGCGTGGCGCGGCGCCGTGCATTTCGGCGTTCTGGGAGTGGGTTTCTGTCAGGGTGTGCCTCGGGTCAGCGGCTGGGCACTACGGGCGGCTGCCAAATTGGGGCGCCGTTGTGTTTGCCCTGGTTGAGGCCTATGTTTGAAGTTCTAGAATGCATGGCGCTGCAAGGCGCGACGATTCAGGGCACTTCATGTTTCTACCGCGCCACTGAGAGTGTCTGGTGTGCCATGTGGCGGCTTCGAACGTCGCATCCGGTGCCTCAGTCAAAGTTAATTCAGTGTGTGTGGTTATTAGTCTCGGTGTAAGGCTCAGCACTTGAAACTAGCACACAGTTGGCTGTAAAACTATACAAAGACACAAATGATTTTGTACTCTCTGCTTAGTCTGTGTCTGAGTTGTACATGTATGGCTGAATGCTGATCCTCTCATGTAGCTTAGCTTCTCTCGGTCTGCCTGTCTGGTGCAAATACAGAGCGTGGGAGCTCTTGGCTCCGCCCCCTTGTTACATTGGGCGGGAAGCCAAAACTAATTTTCATGTAAAGCAACACACCCCTAAAACCGAGCTGTGTAAACGCCCCCAACATGACACTTTTTAACACATTATAATAAAAACATCTGAACTATGTGTTGAACTGAATCTAAACTGGCACACTCAGAAGAACTATAATATTAATATTAAATCATAAAAAAGGGGTAAACTATGTGCCCTATAAATATTAGGTCACCTTTTGCCATGAGGCTGTGTTCAAAATGACATCAATGTTTTCAAAGTGCACTGCAAAGGGAACACAATTGTAAACATGAAGATTGCTAAAACTGATCTGTAAAAATAGTTTGAAAGCAAATTTCACCCTAAGAGAGATAAATTTAATGCTTTTTTATTTTTAATCAATCCAACTTTGAATGTTAAAATGTTCTAAATGAATAGGGCATAAGTGGCAATAGAACACAGCCAGGAACTATGTTTCAAACGACAGCTCCAGAGCTGTAGTTGCCAGTGCTCAAGTTTGCAACGCAGTTTGCGAATGTTCGTTTTAGCGACAGATTTGGGAAACGGCAAATCAACAAACTATGTTTGGAACAATGGAACTTGCGATCTTAGTTGGCTAACAATTTTTCATTTAAAAATTGCATTTAATTACTTTCCTTACAGTAAAATTTGCTTAAAAGTTCTCCATTTATTTATTTACTGCTGAGGATACTGACCTGAATTATATTTTATTGGTAAATTACAAATATTGTAGACTAAAGTAATTGACAGCTATGTTTTGTTGTATTCTAGTTAAATATTTGTGAATGAATATATTTGAAAATTGAATGGGGCGAGGCAGTGGCGCAGGAGGTAGTGATGTCGTCTCACAGCAAGAAGGTCGCTGGTTCGAACCTCGGCTCAGTTGGCGTTTTTGTGTGGAGTTTGCATGTTCTCCCTGCCTTTGCGTGGGTTTCCTCCGGATGCTCCGGTTTCCCCCACAGTCCAAAGACATGCAGTAAAAGGTGAATTAGGTAGGCTAAATTGTCCGTAGGTTATGAGTGTGTGTGTGTGAATGTGTGTGTAGATGTTTCCCAGAGATGTGTTGCGGCTGGAAGGGCATCCGCTGTGTAAAAATGTGCTGGATAAGTTGGCGGTTCATTCCATTGTGGCGGCCCCGGATTAATAAAGGGACTAAACCGAAAAGAAAATGAATGAATGATAAATTCAGATATTTCTATTTACTAACAACAGAAAGTTCTGCGTTTTAACAATATTGTGTGCATTTTAGCATCAAATATGCGCTTCAAACTTTTTCTTGATTGAGACATGTTGAATTCTTCTTATATTATGTTTGAAATAATGACGTGAACTAGAGCTGCACAATTAAGCGTAAGATGATCACAATCTCGATACGACATCCTAGACGATCTTTACCCAACATTTCTACGATTCTGTCAATCATATTTTCAAGTTCAGGAGAGAAGCAATGGTGGCCGCACAAGTCTTCACGTTGTTTTACATACGTTGCTCAGCGACATGGACACCTCCAAATGGTGTTGAAAGAGTCACATCCTGTATTTATAAGGTATAATTCACCTCAAAAATGTTATTTCTGTCTTCAGGTAATGTATTTGCGACCGCAAAATCACACATGACGTGAGCTGCTGACCGTCAGCTGTTACCACAGAGGGGGCGTGCGCACGTGCCTCTGAATGAAGTCTACTTTAGTGAACAGAACCTGCATATGCTGTGAATAACAGCTAATAAAGTTGTAAATAACATTCAGTTTGTGGCACAAAGTGATCATTTTGGAACCGCGCTCGAAGTGAACCGCTCTTAGCAGTAACCGAAACCGAAAGCGCACACAGTGTTGCCAGATGTAGCTGACTGATTCCAGCCCAAAAAGTATCAAAAACCCGCCGAAATGCAAAAATACCCACCCAGTCTTCTGTATTGACGAGAATCACATCAGTGACAGATTTAAGCAGAAAATTACAGATTGTAAGCATTAGGGATGTAACGGTATCAGAATTTCACGATACAATAATACCTCGGTATGAATGGCACGGTACGGTATTTATTAAATAATTTACAGGAAAAACAAAACTAATGAAAAGACTCGAAAAAAGTGCCAAAAGTGTTTATTTACCTTAGCACTGAACATATCAATGACATACAAATTAGCCACCTATCTGTAAGTTTCGAAACAGGAACTTCAATTTTTCAATTTTAATAACAAAAAACTATTAAACCATATAAAAAAATAAAGTTTCAATTTAGTATTGTTGAAAACTCATCACATTCAACATTTAATCACTCACTCACTTAGATAGAGATGGGTTTTTTAAGGAAAATTATTATACAACTATAATCTGGTAAAAGCTGGGATCTCTGGGCATGTCCCCTGCAACAGAAAAAAACCCTCTCATTTGGGACTGAGGTTTCTGGGACAGAGAGATATGATTTAGCCAAGGTTGACAGCAGTGGGTAACGTTGTGCATTGTCTTTCCACCACTTGAGAGGACAAGCCATGAGTGAGATAGAGGTCTCTTTGCGGTACAAGTCAATGTCAGCATCAATCTAACAAGTGTGCTGTGTTCTGCAGTCCCCATGACTGTTTTTAGTCGTATTCCCGACTTATATTTCACCACAGTCTGGCAGTGCCTGCATACTGTTTTATTCTTTGTCTGTCACCTTTTCTCCTTTTTCGTATCTTTTTAGAAAGAAACCGAAATGCTTCCACACAGATGATTTAAAACCCGCTTTAGGTTTGATCATTTCCAGCTCTTTTTCTTCCCCGCTACTAGCAACACACTCCATTTCTGGATCTGTAGTGACAACAGATCGCAAAGGATGATGGCCACGCTTAAGCTGATGGGAATTGTAGTTCCCACTACCTCCCGTTCGATTCATTTGCCTAAGCAAACTTTTCTCAGAAATATAGTGTTATTGAGTCATTCGCCTACGGTAATATTGAAAAAAATTACTATTGTGGTATGACGGTATTTACAATATTGTAACATCTCTAGTAAGCATATGTCTCAAACTCAATAATTCAACATCAGAATAATCATCAGCATTAATGACCAGGACAAATCTAAAGTCTGTTCAAGTCCACCATTCCTAGTCTATACAAGTTTAGCATTTTAACCAACAGTACAGCTACACAAAGCCTGTTGCTGTTTTACATGTTTGAGAACAACAAAAATAATAGCCCACTCATATCAACCTTTATTTTACATCTACAGAATCGTGAGAAAATCGTGATTGTTATTTTAGGCAAAAAAAAATGCAATTCTCATTTTAGCCAGAACCGTACAGCTCTAACGTGGACAAAGAAAAATTCGAACAAAACTGATACACACCTTTGTCAAATATTAACTGCAACTGTCGTGTTTTGCGCTTCTTGTCACAGAACTCCCTTTCAAAGTCGCCCCGGCCTGAGGTGTATTGGTCCCATGCAATCTCCGGGAGCTGGACCACTCTCTGGGGTCGAGGCAGACCCATGTCCACCTATAACAACAACAAAACACTCAAATCACAACACGGGTCTAAATAGCAGACATTTAAGACAACAGGAATGGAAGGTCTGGTGGAAGCTTGTGTACCTGTTTCTGTAGCTGGTCCACAAAGGCAATGGGATCTGACAGGGCTTCCTTCTGATGCCGCGCCAGTGTCTCCAGGTCCAGGATGGCTTGGGTTCGCTGGGCCTCCAGTACGCTGATGGTCTGGAGCAACCTCTGATAACTAATGTGTGGGATAAAGGGCAGAAATGATTTGTACATTATTAAGAGCTAATGCTTTTAGACATCAAAATCACCCATTCATTGTTTCATAGACATCCATAAATAAAATCCCTTTCAATGGTTCACAAAAAATATAGAGGCTGCAGTAGTTGGCACTGTTGCCCCACAGCAAGAAGGTTGCTGGTTCAAGTCCCGGCTGGGTAAGTTGACATTTCTGCATGGAGTTTGCATGTTCCTCCCTTGTTTGCATGGGTTTCCTCCGGATAATTGCTCTGGTTTCCTCAACAGTCCAAAAACATGTGGTATAGGTGTATTGAATAAATTAAATTGTCCGTAGTGTGTGTGAAAATTGGTGTGTATGGTTCTTTCCCAGTACTGTGTTTTGGCTGGAAGGGCATCTGCTGCATAAAACATATGCTGAAATAGTTGGCGGTTCATTCTGCTGTGGCGACCACTAATAAATAAGGGACTAAGCTGAAGGAAAATAAATAAACAAACAATTCTGTTTAAGATGTGCTGAAAAAAAGCATTAGACATCACTCAGGAAATATTTAAAACAGAATTACAATTTCACAAGATGGCTAACAAAGCTGCCTTAGTCACTGCTATAAATAAAACAAAATGTTTCTTCTGGGTTTTCTCTACATTTATCTTGTTAGTCAAGAAGATATGACGTCCGAGCACTACAGAGCTTTGACCTTTTCCATGCGCACCCTCAGGAAAATAGGATCCACAAATAGGAACATGGAAAAAAAAAAAAGGGGAACGATGGGGGAGAATGAATAATACAACAGGGTTTTTAAGTGAAGGAGATTCAGCCTACTGCTCAAAAGTAATCTTATTCAGCTCAATAAACCTTGTATAAATCAATCAGGCCTAATACGGCATGAACGAAAACCAACTGATGACAGCAAGCATTCGCTCTCAACAAGAATTCATCTAGAGGACTGGTTTCATCTGATTTGCCATCCTTGAGGGCAACTGGCTAGCTTTCCTTCAATTTCCTTGCCGCCTAATAACTTCGACCACAGAGGAGCTGTTCACAGCCTCTCGATTCAGATGCACAATGAAGATAGACATGTAGCACTGCAGGATGGGGAAAGCAGCCAACAATGGCAAAGAGCCCAAACATGACATATGGCTGATAACGCACTGCCGCCTATAGTTCAACCACATGAAATGCAGCCTAGACCAATAATAAAGCTGAACAAATAGAAGTATAGTGAAATGGGCATATTAATCAGTACTTTGCCAATTAACCTGCACTGAATTCCACACAAACAGGAATTCTGGCCTAAAACCTTCACACATTTTTGTAACTAGGTAGGCAAATCAGACACATTAGAGCTTATTGTGTGCATGTTAAAGTGATAGGTCACCTAAAATAAATAAATAAATAAATAAGGTAAATTCTGTCATCATCATGAACTCACACTTCATTTGTTCAAAATTGAGTTTCTTTCTTCATGTTGAACATAAATCAAGATATTTTGCTGAAAACCTGTAATCATTGACTTCCATAGTAAGATTAAACAAATACTATGGAAGTTAATGGTTATGGGTTGTCTTCAAAGTATCTTCCTTTGTGTTCAACAGAAGAAAGAAACTCATAAAGGTTTAAAATCACTCGAGGGTGAGTAATTAGTGAGTACATTTTCGTTTTTTTGGGCGGATTTTCCCTTATAGTCAGTCATTACAATGCCTAGGTTTAGACTGAGAGATGTCAACACACCACTAAAACCCACAACTCCGGGTAAAGTTTGTTGTAAAATACTACTTTTACAAACAGTGCACGGAATAAATGAGTATTTTTCTTTTAAACGTACGTTTTCAAAAGCATGCTACACCATAAGGTATTATTTGTGTGTATCTACAAGAGTTGGGTGGTGTCGACCAATTTGGCACCATACAATGTCTAATGTGAAACATTGCGATTTGGTCGATGGCATCGTTGTCATAGGCAACGTCATTATTTATAATTAATTAATTAATTCATAACGAATTAATTATTTGTAGCCTACCGTTTCAACTACCTGACCCGCATGCTCTTTGTTTTACCCATAAAAATACACAAATAAATAAAGATAAGTTACACACAAATGACCACCTATCACTCATTTTTTCCAAGTGAGGGTGGTCGGTAAAAAAGGTGCCCAACCAACAGTATCTGAGGTTTTCCCTAAAATTAATAAAGTACAAGTGTGAAAGTAAAAGACTGAAGCCGTGAACTGACGCTGTGACACGTTACCTGATAGATTCAAAAGACAGAAGAGTTGTTAAATAGAGACAAGATTAATTAAATATCACTTTAAACAACTCTAATAAGACACGATCCAGCGGTACATCCTTGATAAACTCTCCGATGTGCACTTCTCTCTGGAGCGCTTGACAATGTGTGTGCGTGTGTGTGTATTGTCACGTGATTTGTGTTTTCAGCGGACGGAGGGCTGTTCAGAAATGCTAGGTAAAACACAGCATGGATGTGGATCATTTACGTTCTAAAATGCCATTTTAATACTAAGACGTCTTGGTGTAAATGAGGCCTAAGTGTGTATTTTATGCGAGGGAGTTTGCGATGGCGGCAGGACGAAGAATCGTCATGCCGGCTGTGCATTGTGTTGTCTATTGGCCATCGGCGATGGATAATGGCATCGTCTATCAGCCCAACCCTAGTATATACTTATTCGATTAGTTAGTAGCAAAGCCAAAACTGGAAGTAATGTAACAAAATAAGATGTTTTGTTATATTTTGACTAAATAAAGGGTGGTTTATCCTTCTGTGTTGAGTGATCGACGTGACCAACAGCGCATGCCTTGTGCACAGCCGAGCATTTATACGTCTGCGTGCTGTTTGTGTTGCTCTGCAACAACACTTTCGAAATGCTAGCTGGCAGTAGGTTTTGTTATGTTCCTCTGAATCGAGTTTCTTCACAGGTTTTTGTTTTTTCTGAACGCTACCATAATGTACAAATAGCTAAAACTCGGACGTGCATCAACTTTTATCATAAGGTAAACACAAAACACTTACGGCTACTCCACGGGACTCCACACTTGTAAACACTCACTCCCATCTGGCTCGCGACTCTTAGCACTGCCCACACTTGGCACAGCTACCAGGTCGACCAATCACAGAGCTTGCACTAAGCATCGTTGCGACTTGTAGTTTAATTGTATGTAAGGTGCACATCAGTGTCTGCGACCGCACACAGGCTGCGCCAAACCATACGTGTGCACTTGACGCAGAAGTATAAATATGCCTTAAGAATAAAACTTAAAGCTTGGACCCCGTAGAGCACAAGGCAATAATCTGTACACCCCAATTAATCTTTTATTGGAAAAAAAGTATAATTTGAATTAAATAAAATAAAAAAATCAATAAAACAATCAAAATAATAAAGCTAATTGAACTTTTGTTTTTCTTATGTAATAACTCATTTAAATGTAAACAAACTATATCTTTGTATTCATCATGATGTTAGGTGACCAGACTCTTATTTTAAGAAATATGCACCAAAATACACTCATCAGCCACTTTATTAGGTACACCTTACTAGTACCAGTTCGAACCCTTTTGTTTTGCCTTAAGAACTGCCTTAATCTTTTGTAGCATAGATTCAACAAAGTATTGGAAATAATCCTTCTATATTAACATGATAACATCACGCAGTTGCTGTAGAATTGCTGTAGAATTGATGAATTGATCCATGATGTGAATCTTCCGTTCCACCATATCCCAAAGGTGCTCTATTGGATTGAGTTCTGGTGACTGTGGAGGCCATTTGAGTAGAGTGAACATGATCAGCAACAATACTCATGTAAGCTGTGGTGTTGACACGATGCTCAATTAGTACAAATGGGCTAAAAGTGTGCCAAGAAAATATCTCCCACACCGTTACACCACCACCAGCAGCCTGAACTGTTGATACAAGGCAGGATGGATCCATGCTTTCATGTTGTTGGCAACAAATTCTGACCCTACCATTCAAATTAAATCAAGACTCATCATACTAGGCAACGTTTTTCCAATCTTCTATTGTCCAATTTTGCTAAGCCTGTGTGAGTTGTAGCCTCAATTTCCTGTTTCTAGCTGACAGGAGTGGCCTTCTGCTGCTGTAGCCCATCCGCCTCAAGGTTGGACGTGTTGTGTGTTCAGAGATGCTCAATGTGATGTTCAAAATTACCAATTTAGTCTTTTATGCCAAACATCATTTGACTATTAGGTAAAGATTATGTTTCCTAAACACATTGCATTAATTTCCTACAGTAAATGTATTAAAATGTAATTTTTTATCTTTAATATGCCTAAATATATACTTTAAAGATGTTCAAATAGTTATTTCCCAACCAAATATTGTCCTATCTGGAAAGCATATTGAGCTTTAAAAATGTATAAATGTCAGTTTCTATAAAAAATGATACTTATGACTAGTTTTGTGGATCTGGGTCACATAAAAGCTGCCATTCACTCACACCAATCAACAATCCAACACACTATATCAACATCCTAATAACCAACCAGCAATGCTTTACAAGTTAAAACTGAATTTCAAAATGAATTGCGATGGAAAAACTGTCCCATTTAAGGATTAAGAATGATTTAATACCAAACTATTAATAATTCAGACTGGTCCCATGAACTGATGTGGCTGCACTCTCCTTTCATTTCTACTGACCGACAAGCCAATCCAGCTGGCTGCTCCCGATCCCTGCACTCCCACTGTGAGACTGGCACATGCTGAATGAGCACGACCCAGGACAACCTGTCTACCAGCAGCATGCTTCCCTTCGCTTATTACCTACCACTGTCCTGGAGATTACAGCAGCTGTTGCTCATTTTTGCTACAAAAAAAAAAACAGTATGCATAACCAATGTTTTTAAATTACAAATCTCAAATGCTGAAGAAAAAAAGAGCAAAGGCAGACAAATCGAAACTTGCACAGCTCAGTTTTGGCAACCATACAAGCTAAAGCATTGCAGTTCGGTTCTACTTCCAAAAAAAAAAAACAACTTAAACTATTTTAAATTTCAAAGCTACAGAACTATCTGAATGGATTGCAGAGTATTTCTATATAAGTTTTTTGATTGGCTTTGGTGGTTTGCTGTGCAGTTTCTAGGATGTTTTATGGCCCGTTTCTACTTAGTGGTACGGTTCGGTTCAGTGCGCTTTTAAGGCCGTTTCCACTGTCAAAAGGTACCTAAAAAGCAAACCGTACCACTTTTGGGTACCCTTTGCAAAGGGTACCTAGCACAACAAAAGGGTACCAAAGGGCGGAGCAAGACGTGCAACTAAACGCTACTGGTTTACAGAGATACGTTACACGCAAAAGCAGGAGAATAAAAACAAAGGAATCACCTTTTTTAAATACACAGCTGAGACATTACACCAGGGGTCACCAAACTTGTTCCTGAAGGGTCTGTGTACTGCAGATTTTAGCTCCAACCCTAATCAAATACATATGTACAATACTAGGTATACTTAAAACACTCAGGCAGGTGGATTAGGGCAAGTTGGAGCTAAACCCTGCAGGGACACTGGCCCTCCAGAACAAAGATTGGTGACCCCTGCACTAGACCATAATAATATATACATATAATAACGAACCATGGTTGACCTGAGCTCAAACAACCTTGTCGTTGTCTTGATGAACAGCCACAAAGCCAAAAAGAGCAGAATCTACCCTGTGGCCAGTAGTTATTTAAAGGGCGAGCAGTTTTGCTGTCTTGTGTGCGTTCGTCATGCTTCTATATTTGAAATAACAAACTTTTTGAGCTGATTATAATAACGTGCGCATGATTAATAAAGTGCTTCAGACATCCAATCCTTTCAGAAACAGACCAACGCGAGAGTATAGTGCGAAAAAACAAAAAAGAAGCCAGAAAAACAAAAAAACAAATGAGCAAATGATTCTTTCAGCAACCTAAACCATGAACAAACGACAATGTTTAACTACTATTGTCGCCTTTTGAACTATTATAAACTTATGAATAGCTTTTTTAACCGCAGGTGAAGATTAAAGATACAGATGAGAGGTTTGCACTGATTGCACAGCTTTACTTTGACATTTCCTCAAGCTAGAAGGACGTTGACTGAAACTTTCTGTTGAATACCATGCCCACCAAAAGAGTACCATTGGTACCCTTTTGGCAATGGAAACGCAACCCTGATAAAGGTGACTCGTACAGACCCGTACCGTACCGTCCGGCTTAGTGAAAACGCGCCATTATGAGGTTCCTTAAAGCAACAGATGAACGATACTATAGGTTTTTAAACATTGCTCTGGTCTGTCCAAACTACAGTTGCAGTCAGATTTTCAGATCACCAACAAAGTCCAATAATTTTAATAGAAATGTAGCTGATCTGAAAATCTGAATATGGATCAAAGATTTTTAATTTGTAGATTTTTTTTAACAGGTTCAAACTGGTGACAGACATAAAAGTCAACCAAAACATACTTCTTAACCTACAGTATTTCTGGCTGACAGTCGACTTAAGACTTCTCATAAAGCTACATGATTCATGTCCGTTGTATTCAAAGTTGGGTTGTTGGGTTTAAATGCTGGGTTTGGGGTAGCCAAAAGCAAATTTCTAATCAATAATCTTGAATCACCGCAATTATGAAAAAGATTCAAATGAAAGAACGTAAACCTAAACATACTCTTTGTTGTGTTTGAGAGCCAAGTGATCCGACTCAAAATAGTAGACATCTGGGTCCTCTTCCTCCTCCTCATCTTCCTCAGCCTGAGCAGCCAGCAGCTCTTTGGTGGATCTTGACTCTCTACTATCAGACACTCCGACCTCTCCGCTGACAACCTCTTCCTCGAAAAGTTCACTGTCTGCCTCGCAAGAAAGTCCCAGTGCATCATGGGAAGGGTCTTTATGGCTGGTGTCCTCTGAGAAAAAAGGAACCATTGTGGTCTCTTCCTTCAGTGAACCATTGTCTATGTGTGGGGAAGTGGGTTTGGGGGAGCTGGCTTTGAGCCCGCTACCAAAGGCAGCGCGGCGCGGTGAAGTCCTCAGGGTGTAGCGGTGTTCTTGAGGCTCTGTGAAGGAGGGGGGCTCGGCGGGCAGCTGAGAAGCAGCCAACAGCGTTTCTCCTGAGATATTCGAGCAGTTGTCAGAAGGGTCCTGTGGTTCAGCCTGAAAGTCACCATTGGTGCTCTCCTCTCTCACGAATTCATCCTGAGCCTGGCCAGCCTCTCCCACAACATCGACCTCTACCTCCATCTCGGGTTCCTGAGACAGCACAGCCTCAGCGGCTTCCTCAGGTGTGCAGTTCCTCTCACAGTCAATTTTAGGGCTGTCGGGCTCATTGGTTTGCTTGGGATGAGGGGATCTACAAGGCACAATAGGGTCGGGGGATGAGGGCGCAGCCTGGCTGCCATTTAACAGTGAGGGACTGCTGTTGAGTGTGGCAGGGGAGGCACAGGGCTCCACAGGTAAGGCCGCAACTTCTGAGTCCTCTCTATAGAGTTCAGCGAGGCCATTGGTTGCTTTGACGTTCTCGCTGACCTCTGGTTGAGGGGCGATCTCTTCTGTTGGGCCATCCTTTTTCTGATCAGCCTCTTTGTCTGAGGCTGAAGTATTATTTGATTTGGCGCCATCGTCATTTTCCTTCAATACAGCAGGATCGGGGCTCTCGGGTTTGAGAGAAGGCTCTTCCTCTGCCCCCTGTGATTCACCTGAGCGAGGACAGCGTTTGGCCCTCTTCAGGGCAGGTGAGGCTTCAGGCCCACACCCAGACCTTTGACGCTCACAGTTATCAAATTTGTCCGAATCTTCCTTCTCGGAGCTCGGCAAGCCACGTTTTCCACATGCAGGCACGGGTTCGCCCTCCGCTTTGCTCTCAGTTACCTTTCCAACCTGTGCTCCGGTCTGCTGGTGCTGCTGACAGTCCTGCTTCTTTTTGGGTGAGCGAGCTCTGGGCACGGGAGGCGGAGAGCTCTCTTCCGGCTGGGCGATGCTGCGGTTCCTGAGGGTTCGGCCACAAAAGTTCTCATCCAATCCATTTATCCCCACTGATGATCTTGTGACGCGCGAAGAGCGGGACGCGGCCATACTATGGTGGGTGCCTACTGTCTCCTCATCGTGGTGCTCTCTCCTCAGCAGCAGTATGTGGGCACCTGAGTGACACAATGAGAGACTAATTACAGACCGTTCAGATTCTAAATTACACAGGTTTAAGTGTATAACAAAAAATAGACAGAAAAGATGTAATCGGTTGCTGTTCCTGAAGAACATACATATTTGAGAATGCATGCAAATGTGCTCAGGTTAAATCAAAGTTGCTGCACAGCACTGAAATGTTCACAAGTTTAAACAGAGGTTAGTATATTCTGAAATGTAGTGGATTCATGTAAAACAAGTTCATAAGAAGTTACATTTACACACAGAAAAGTTTTAACTTTTAAAAATTAAAAAACAAAAACGTACGATAAAGCTGCAGAACTAACAGTTGAAAGATCATGTTCTTGATTAAAGACTAATGCTTACTTCACTGTAACCAATTGTATTATTATTGATATATAAACAGACTGCAGAAAACACATTCCTCCTATAACCTCTAGTACACTCAATTAAATTCCTTAAATACTCAATTACATTTGTGAAATACCACCAACACTTTCTCTTAGTACTTCATAGGTAAGAATTGTGTTTAGTACTGGAAGAGATTGAAATTGACAGCATATTTTGAAAACATAATTATAAAACTTCAATTTAATCGCTCGGAAAATAAACAATAAAACATTTCTGTGGTTGCTGCTTTGCTTTGTCATGGTAACATTTAAGTCCCCATTCAAGGGCTCTGCACCCTGGACTGAGCAAAGCATAGGAATATGGGTCTACTTGGGTGTTGAATTGTCTAATAATGATGTCAGGCTCAGGGGTGAAGCATAGGGCTGGGCGATAAAAATCGAGATCACAGGCTTTTATGACTAAACAAGCTCCAGAAGTTCTGGGAAACTGAGGTGGTAGAAGCGCAGTAGTTATGATTTCTTTAACTTGTATGAAAAAAATATAAATAAAAAATACGTGACCTGAGATGGTTAGGAGAAAGATTTAACTGTATTTATTAACTGAACACCATTGTCGATATCAGTAACAAAAAAAGTTTGGTATGTAGTTTCGGTATGAAGCGCTATAGTTTTATTAAAATGTGTCTGCCGAGCGCGCACCTTGGAAGCAATGCCAATAAGCTTAGAGTCAGTTTGTCATTTCCAAAGGAGGTGCACATGGGAGTGACGTACACATGGTGTGCGCATCACGTTAAGGAGCAACATGTTTGAGCACTTTCTAAAGATTGTAGTTCTGATTTTAATAAAGGGTTGGAACTTTGAAATTAATTCTTTTTTTTTATCTGATTCAAGTAATTGTTAGTTGCAGTCCCAAATCAATGATCATTCTCCCTTCTGTTAAGGCTTCTGTTTGCTAGCCAAAAAGAAAAATTATTGAAAACCTGGTGTCCAAGAAAATTAAAATATACCACTCAAAAACACATTCGGACCAAAGAAATTAAAGTGACCCCAAAATGTAAATGTGAATATTTAATATTTTTAAAGTTTAAAAATATGATCTAAAGTGATGGTTTTCAACAATGTATTAATAAATGTGAGCACATGAAAGCATAACTGAAAGCTCAACTCTGAATAACAGTACACTGGTGGAATATTTGGAATGTTTCCACAAGCATGAGTTCCACAAGAAAAGGAGGTGGGCGTATTTATTTTTAGCTTTTTAATCGACTGAAAAAAAATTCAGCTAGATTTCTGAAGAGCATCTGAGTGATGGTTACCTGTGCAAAAGTCACCACAATGCCAAGGTGCTGCTATGTGATTACTGGTTCAAGTCGAAACGAGCTCAACTATGTCCATAATTACCCTCTAGTTAAAGCCTATGAGAATTTTTTAGTATAAAAACTAATAGCACAGCCCTCAAAAAACTGCAGAATTTAGAAAAGCCATTGAGGACTGTAGCATAAACATATCAAGTTTTATACTTTGAGACATAAACAAGAGTAAAAGTGATGATATATGAGCAAACATCGCTAATAAGAATCCCCCCCCCCCCCAAAAAAAACCTTTACTTATTACTTAGAGATGCACCAATTGTAATCACTTCAGATTTTTTTTGGTGTGACCTGCTGATACCAATGTTCGCTGATTCCAACTTTCTTTATAACAGCTATAATTATAAAACAAATAATAAATAATATTACAATCAGTCTAAAGAAGTCAACACAAAGAGACACACACACACACACACACACACAAAAAATGCTATTTTGCAGTATAGGGACTGGAACACACCAAGTTGACGCTAAAAAACTAGCACAGAATGTTAAGATAATACATCGCACTGGTACTTATACTAATTAATTATACACTTAACATTAAATAGTCACCTTTATAATCATGTCCAGTCTTTATCCTACCATATTATTAGTAAATTTATAATCAGTTTTTTTTTTAAGCCAGTGTTCAGTCCCCCGGATTAGTGGACTTATTGACCACCTCTGTACACACTGCTCTCTGATTTAGGAAAGGCTTTCCTCTCCACACCAGCCATCTCAGTCCCCAGTGAAAGAGTTTTTTTCAGCAGGGGACATTATAAATGTGCAAAGATCTCATACATAAACATATTAAATGCTGATATTTATTTAAAAAAAAAAGTCAAAGCACAGTCACAGCTTTAGTTTGTTTATATAACTGAGTCTTTATTTTTTTGCTGGGGAGTTTGTTTTTAAAATAGAAAATTAGTTATGGCAGAAAATATATTATTTTGCAAAAGATTTGTAGAATTTAAGAAAAAAATGAAAGGGCTCTTCATAATTTTGTAAAAAAAATCGTGACTTAATCGTATCGAATCGTCAGTCAGGTAAATCGTTACATCCTAGCTATTAGAATACCGGCCCATGCCTAAATCCCACTAGATTGAAATAAACAGTCCACAACAACCAGTGTAGGATTTGTTTAAACAAATGTTGCACACAAGGCTGTATCGTGGTAGTATATGGTGTGTAGACGTTCCTCTCATTGTGAAACGTCACTCGGAGTATTTATAACCGGCTCAGGTGAGATCAAGTGAGAGGTGAAGAAAAGACTTGAGGCTTTTAACAGTCTCACACATCTTTATAGGGAGTTGTACAAGCCTAAAAATACATATGCATGTGAAACCCAAGGTACAAAAGAAAACAAACACTTTTATAAATGTTACAAATAAAATTAAATTGCATTTTCAAAGTTAATGTTTGCACAAAAATGACAAAAAAAACTTTAAAAACATATTAAAGTAATATAACCATAAATAGGTGAGGAGGGGCAGATCCAATGAGAGCTGGAAAAAGTGATGCAGAATATAGCATCAGTAGAGGTGGCACACTATAATAAACCCACACCCACTTTGAAGCAGTACTAATTTGTGTAAAAGCAGACTGAGTTAAGACATACTGAACCACAGAGTTGTAGCACCTAGTGGAAAAGCGCTCAAAGAAAGCCTAAAGTCCAAACAATAATAATTAAGCTCCACATGTAACTTGGCCATGTAAAGTATACTAATCTGATGCTCACATAAGACCGAAGTATGCCTAAGTACAGTGCATCCAGAAAGTATTCATAGCGCTTCACTTTTTCCACACTTTTTCTGTTACAGCATTATTCCAAAATGGATTAAATTCATTTATTTCCTCAAAAATCTACACACAATACCCCATAATGACAATATAAAAAAATAATTGTTGCAAATTGATTAAAAATAAAAAACCTGAAGAATCACATGTATAGAAATATTCACAACCTTTGCCGTGAAGCTCTAAATTGAGCTCAGGTACATTCTGTTTCCACTGATCATTCTTGAGATGTTTCAGCAGCTTAATTGGAGTTCACCTGCGGTAAATTCAGTTGATTGGACATGATTTGAAAAGGCATACACCTGTCTATATAAGGACCCAGGGTTGACAGTGCATAACAAAGCACAAACCAAGCATGAAGACAAAGGAATTGTCTGTAGACCTCTGACAGGATTGTCTCGAGGCACAAGGCTGGGGAAGCTTACAGAAAAATTTCTGCTGCTCTAAAAGTTCCAATGAGCAAAGCGGCCTCCATCACCCATAAGTGAAAGACTCTTCCTAGACCTGGCCTAAGCTGAGTGATCGGGGGATAAGGGCCTTAGTCAGAGAGATGATCAATGACCCGATGGTCTGAGCTCCAGCGTTCTTCTGTGGAGAGAGGAGAACCTTACAGAAGGACAACCATCTGTGCAGCAATCCACCATTTAGGCCTGTATAGTAATGTGGCCAGATGGAAGCCACTCCCTGCCAAAAGGCATCTGAAGGACTCTTAGACCATACGAAACAAAATTCTCTGGTCTGATGAGACTACAATTAAACTCTTTGGAGTGAATGCCAGGTGTTATGTTTGTAGAAAACCAGGCACCGCTTTTCACCAGGCTAATACCACCCCTACAGTGAAGCATGGTGGTGGCAGCATCATGCTGTAAGGATGTGTTTCAGTAGCAGGAACTGGAAGACTATTCAGGAGAGAGGGAAAGATGCTTCAGAGTGCTCTTGACCTCAGGCAGGGATGACGGTTCATCTTCCAGCAGGACAATGACCCAAAGCACACCTCCAAAATATCAATGGAGTGGATTCACAACAACTCTGCGAATGTCCTTGAGTGGCCCAGCAAGAGCCCAGACCAAAATCCTATTGTACATCTCTGGAGAGATCTGAAAATGGCTGTACACCGTCACTTCCCATCCAACCTGATAGAGCTTGAGAGGTAGTGCAAAGAGGAATGGGCAAACATTCCTAAAGACAGATATGCCAAGCCTGTGGCATCATATTCAAAAAGACCTGAGGCTGTAATTGCTGCCAAAGGTGCATCAACAAAGTATTGAGCAAAGGCAGTGAATACTTATGTACATGAGATTTTTCAGGTTTTTTATTATTAATTAATTTGCAACAATTTCTGATAATCGTTTTAAAATTTTCATTATGGGGTCTTGTGTGTAGAATTTTGAGGACATAAATGAATTTAATTCATTTTGGAATAAAGTTATAACCTAAAAAAATGTGGATAAAGTGAAGCGCTATAAACACTTTCCAGATGCACTTATAATTTTTTTT